CCCCCTATAAAAGTATGTTAGATTTCATTTATTTGCTAATGTATGCCATGGACAGTCACTCACAGTCAGTGGTGTACAGGTGGAGCGTTCCAAAGTCAATGTCTGGGATGGCCAGGTTCTTCTCGAAGTCGCTTCCTTCCGTGGTGGAGTACGGGTACGATTTGTCGGAGCCGATGGTCAAGCCCATGCCCTCTAAATAAACAATTAGTCTCATTGAGTCACATTCTATTAGATGTGTGATATACGTACCATCACCCATGGCGACCATGTGGTTGGGATCCAGCGACTTGATGTAGGCACTGGTCTTGGTGGCCCAGCCGTGGATAACATCAGGGCTGCATCCATTGCAGCGGGGCTCATTGCCCAGCTCCCAAGCGAAGATCGCTGGGGAGTTCCTGTACCGAGAGACAACAGCCTTGATATAGGCTTGGTACACGCTCTGGATCTTCTCGTTGGTGAACCACTCCGTCTTGCTGCCACCGTAGGCAGTGACATAGGCGTTGAATCCACCATAGTCATCCCAGCTGTTCACAAAAGGAATGATGAGCTTGACGCCGTGCTTCTCAGCGGCAGCAACCACATAGTCAAGGCGCTGGAGGCCGTCTTTACCAGTGTTAATGGTGGAGGTGCCCTTGGCCTTGTCGTGAAGTTGGAAGTAGACCGTTCCGGGGCTGGGAGCAGTGTTAACATCGTTGAAGCCCCAGACACGAAGGATCTTCAATCCGGTTTGCTCCAGATGATCGAACACAGCATCAATGTCCGCATTGTTCATCTGGAATGGGAGCCAATAGGCGTTTGTGCCGGCGAAGTACTTGGTCTCGCCGTCAATCGAGAACTGCAGTCCATCCGCCTTGGCGAAGGACCCGCTGCCCGTCGGGCGAGGGGTTGGCGAGACCGACGACGAAGACGGAAGGGGAGTAGACGTCGACACTGTTGAAATTGACTTGTTGATGCCCGTGCTGACGGACGCAGTAATGGACACCGAAGGAGTGACAGTTGGTGTGGGAGTGCTGGACACCGCGGGAGTCGTGGACTCGGCGCCTGAGGTATCGGTTAGATCTCGTTTAGTCTTGGCATAGACACGGGGAAGTCAGTTTCACTCACCAGGTACACATTGGCTAAACCACTCGCTCAGCTCCTGGCATGTCCATCCCGAAGGACACGCAGATGAGCCGGAGAAGGACTTGCCTCCACACTGTGCCCAAGGACCAGCCTGGGCCGACGCAGCTCCCACCACAGACAGGAGTGCGATAGACGAAAAGGAACGCATTGCGAGAAAAGAGCGAAAAGAAGAAAAAGAATGAATGAAAAGAGTTAAAGAAAGTGGTTGTTTTGTCGAGCAGAAAGGCAGGGTCTCAAGGTCTTCGCCAGCAACTTTATAGTTTGCGCGGCCAACGCTGTCGTTGCTGCGTCTCTCAAGCCGAGACTATCCACCACTCCTTGAAACCATACAAATTACAGCAACACTGTCATCCTATCTAAAGTCCATCGGAGTTAGAGTCAATGGACGCATTCAATGTTCTGATTTTGTTCAGTGGAATCCACATGGCGGAGCAGATTCCATGGGACCGGGTCCCGAAGCGGACCCTTCTTCCTTGTCCGTTTAGGCAAGGATTGTCTTAGTTTGATACTTAGAGAGGATCTTTTAATTTATTTCTGGTCCCTGCGTTGCACGTGCTAAACTAGTTAGTCACTAGTTTTTTAAGCCGAAAGTATGCTTGGAGTGCGATATCGAACAGGTAGACACCACGAAGAGATGGATGTTCACCCCCATACCAGTCTAATGCACCTTGGACAAAAGGCTAATTCCAGAGCCACATCAAGTGTAGTAGGACTATATCTCCAACCCTACACTTATACGGATCATCCCTAGAAGAAGAAAAAGTAAAATACCAAATACAAAGAGAAAAACAGCACGGTATAGAGAACAACCTCATGCCATAGCCCGGCAAACGTCGGCTCAACGTCCCGAGGAAGCCGAGGCGATGATTGGTACAACGCCATTAAGATAATATGAAATGGTCCCAGCGTTCATTATCCTGAAACATTTGCCTTGTTCTTTCCCCGCTCCGCAGACCGTTTCCTTTCGAGAAAGGAACTCCACAAGGCCTTTACAACTATTAGGGCCAGGAAAAAGGTACAACCCGCGCAAAAACCGCCTGTCTCACAATGGCAGCCACCATCTCACTTGCAACAACCTCGAAATTGAAGGCAGTCCTACACAATACGCCACTGACTCAACCGAACCACACTTTAGGTACTCAAAGCATAGCCTGGTCGTTCTAGAACAAAGGCATCATGAGGCTACACCAGGGAATGCCCCATTGACAGGTCCTGAGAAGTAAAGGGGCTGGCCAGATCCGGCAACACACTATTAGGAGTCATGATCTAGTCCAACTTGACGTGAATATAAAGTCGTACGGCGTACCTTCATTCTCAAAAGCTTTTTTTTTTTTTACACCAAATAAGTCCCGGAGACATAGTCATTCTTTTATACACTTTCTTTTCCATAACTATCCAAGATGAAGTTCTTCATTCCTTGTCTTGCCGCCATCTTCGCCACTGGAGTGCTGGCCGCTCCAACTCCCGATGCCTCCCTCAACGTTTCCCTCGACAAGCGGGCTGATCGCGGACAATACACCGTCTCTGGCCTTGGATCCCGCAAGAAGGCTATCATCGAAGCAGGCGGCAACTCCCTCGATCTCGCCATTGCCATGCTCGAAATGTAAGAAAGCACAATTCGCAAGAAGGCCATTCTAACACGAAATGTACCAGCGAGGATATGAACGCCGCCCATTATGCCTACGGCGACGGCAAGACCTACGACGCCGCCAACTTCGGTCTGTTCAAGCAGAACTGGGGCCTGCTCCGTGAGTGCGCCCACCGCTACGGGTTCAAGGGGAAGACGGAAGCCCAATGGAACGATGGATCGGTCATGAAGTAAGATATTCTTTCTTGAGATGCCTTTCTCGGGGTATTAGCTGATAGTAAAAAGCTCGAATGTCTACGCCGACGTTGCCTCTCGCTGGGATTGCCAGAATTACTACGGTTACGATAAGTGGTTCGCTGGACACCGCAACGGTGCTTCTGGTCTTGCTAATCCCTACACTGCGGATATCAATAGTATGTTACAGTTGTGCTATTAATATCTTGTCCCTTTGGAGCAGAAGCTGACGAAGTTAATTTATAGCCTACAAGTCCGCTGTTCAGTGGATCCAGAAGCAGATTGACAGCAACGAGAAGTACAAGTACGATGACACCCGCTTTTGGGTCAGCGTCGTTGCCATCTAAGCACAGGTCTTGGTGGGATTCACAGGTTTCTGGGCCGTGTTACTTGCAATAGTAACCCCTCTTTGTAGAATACTTCTTTTCTTATTGACCAGCCTTTGTACCATTCGTCCTTGGTGTTATAGTGTGTACAAGCTTGGGGAATTTTATCTTGATAGACATATTTTTTAACATCTTACTATGAATTAATAATCCAAGTAAGAACTCTCACAATCCTTCCACTAGTAGTCCACCACAAAAAGACTAATGAATACCTAATGAACAAAAGCTGTGGGAATACACGAAGCCACAAATCGGAAGCCAGAGATGGCAACACAGCTCAGCACTAATTCGGCACTAGCCCTAAGTCTATATTAGTAACAAACGCTGATTCTGACTATGCTCCACAAACAGGATCATAGATGACATGAAATGTACGTAGTATATATTCTCGTTAATCCCTGTCTAACTACACCGTCTAGCGGTGTTCTGAGAAACTAAGCTGAATCCACACCTGCATACTATACTAGGCTGTGATACAAGCTTTCAGTAACCCCACCACCTCACACATAAGAACTATATATAGCTAAACTCTAGTCATTTTGTCTATATACCCTGATAATATTTACCTTCTTAGCAGACATACTCCCATCTACCCTCCCAATCCAACCGTCTTCCATATCCCACAATGCCCACAACCCCAACAATCCTCACAATCCCCAGCCTCTAGGAAGGCCCCACAGTCTTCGACCCCATCTCAAGCCTGCTAACAGCCTCCAACCTCAAAACTGAAATCGCCACACTCCCAAGCACAGACACTATCTCCCCGGGTAATCCAAGTCTCAAAGACGATGTCTTCGCAGTACGCACACATATTGAGAAATTAGTTCAACGAGGTGAAGACGTACTATTAGTCCTTCACTCTGCGAGCGGATTCATTAGCAGCGAAACAATGGAAGGACTTACCAAGAAGGTCCGTGAAGGGCGCGGACTCAGTGGGGGTGTCGTGGGGGAAAAGGACATGTGCATGGGGATTTGCCGTTTGCTGTGGAGGTTTGTTCTCTTTTTCTTTCTTTCTGCTCTTCTTTCTTATTTCGGTAGTAGTGGGGAGGGGAGACTAGGGAGGAGGTTTTGGTATGATAAACTGGGATGGTTGATTGCGGACTTTGATAATTCTATCCAAGTTGGAGCATTACATTGTGTACAGGCGGAGCAGATACGGTTTGATGATCTTGATGAGGAGGGAAAAGGGAAATGGTTGGAGGTGCTTAAACGTCAACCTGCCCAAGGTTGGAATGGGATGACGACATATTCTAGCTAGGGGGAAGTGGAGAGTGTGTATCTTGTCCGTGAGCAGGATCAGGTCATTCCAGCTTCTCTACAGGAGGAGCTTGCTAGGTTAGCTGGGAGTAAGGTTGAGAGGTGCAGTGCGGGTCATATGCCGCATTTGAGTCAACCGAGTAGGGTTGTGGAAGTTATTCAAGATGCGGTTGCTGCTTTTGCCTGATAGATGTCTGTGAGTGGATGGTTGATGAGGTCTAAATGGTCTTTTGAGGACGGATTAGTATAGCCTTTTCGCTGTGAAGGTGGATCGCAGATATGGTTGTAGGCATAATAAATCTTTGATAGTAGCAGATATATGGAGGTATTTTAGCGACTCGCAAATTGATTGACTGACTTAGGACATTCTATAACCTACATAACTCATCCGTTGCGTTATATAAAAAAGCTCAATGTGATTTCACCAACTGACCTATCGGACCGAGGCACATTCTCCTAGGTTGAATGTTATTTAAAGCGCACGGCCAGAGCGACGGTCAAAGCGCTTTTCTTTAATCAAGCTGCCAACATTTAAATGTCAAACGAGTCACCCACCTTTTTCCAAGTTCCTAGATTTTCACAACTCCACCTTCCAGAGTACCATACTTTCCTATTACATATCCCTACATACCTCCCTATTTGATTCCTGGTGCACTATTCCGACCCTTGCATAAAGACCTTCCATTCTCAACATTGGTTAAATGTGAATGTTTATGATAACCAGAAGAGTTGTGAAGCACGGTGTCGCCAAGCCGCTCTATACACGGTATCTCAAGAATCGATGCTCTGATGCCGCCAAAGGACATACCCATCAGCGCCTCATCGGTGGGATCTGATAACCAGCCACAGACTTGCAGATTAACCCCATTAGAGGATGCTGTTAAACTTACTTCTTCAGACAATGAAGATAACTGCTTCTTGGGATATCTACCTGAAGATTGGTGTACCAACGGTACGCAGATACGCAAACCCTAAACCACATGGTCTTCAGTATATTGACTCACGCTACACGCGAAGGGGATCTTGGCCTTCAAGCCTATGGAGGGTTTTGCACTGCTCTGATAGTCAGTGCTAGTGGCAAATATTTTGGCTCAAGACATCCGCAGTCAGGCCAACCTCACTGCGTCTCTCTCCATATTCAGTTTTTAAGGCCTCTCCCCTGTGGACCGTTCAAAGTCAGTTTTGAGGATATACGAAAGGGTTCCCGATTCTCAATTATTGAAGCAAAAATATGTCCAAGGGATACTGCATTTTCGAGTCCGTATATATTATCTATCATTACTCTCGGCAATTTGCATCGACGAACTGGACCAAGCATCAGCTTGCAATCAAAGCCGATACCAAACAGGCTGAAGGATTGTGTTCCGTGGAAGCATGATTACTTTGATCCCAATATAAACCCTCCCGGCGCTCGCTTCAAATTTCTTGTTCCAAAAGGAGGTCCCACTCTCTTGTGGAGTCCTACCCGGGGACAGAATGCTCGGGATCAGTGGGCAAAGGTAGCTGGAGAGAATGAGACCTTTAACCTGGAGTATTTGGGCTTACTCGCAGATTCGGTACTAGAATTCACCCCAAATTGAATGTTGACAATGGACTTATACTGAGCACAGGTCCCTGCCCTTCCTATGAACTATGATCCTCAAGGTCTGAAGGCCACCGAAACGTGGGCCTTTCCTACGGTCAGTCTGTCCTTGGACATTCGCGAAGACCCAACTGGAAAGGAGTGGGTACTTGTTCGTTCAAGGATGCGGAGCCTACATAATGGCCGCTTTGATATGGAGATGCAAATGCTAGATGAGAGCAATAACCTGGTGGCAACGTGTCGGCATAGCTGCATCATGTTGGCGAGAAGGAGCGGTCAAGGACGTCCAGTCAGCCCCAAAGCTACTTTATAAACCCGCCTATCGCGCCGAGCAAAGTAATCCAGGGCGGTATACCCTTAAAGCCGTCATCTTCCCTGCAATTTCACTCGGAACTGATCTCCGGTCTAGAGTTTCGTAATTGTAGAGTGAGCTGTATTAACGTTGATAAGCCTACAAGAGGAAAGGCCGAGAGAGCGACCCGCCATAGTGATAGTTAAGGGGTTGAAAAAATGATCAAAGCCTTGCATGCACCTTAGCAATAAATCTGGCCGCTGGAGAGAGGTAGGCACGAGGCAAGATGACAGCTTATAACACATGCTCTAAGACACCTAAGACCACCGTAGAGCCTATGCCTTCTGCATATAGAACGACGGCCACCAAGTAAGAATTTTTGGTTCATATATCGGTTGACTTTCAGGTCCATGTATCTCCGAGGTCCCCCTTTTACCAGGGACACTGATTTCTGGCTTCAGTATAAACAAACGACCCTAGCGGACCAGCAACATTCTTCGAATTTTTTAGATTTCAGAATTTCCATTGCCGAACCGAAAGAACACTGCCCATTTTAAAGGCAAAGTTTTTTTCTGGTATACCACAAATCAAGTACAATATTTGGCATTGCGTCAGTGTATTTTCACTTACATTGGCATCATATCTGTATTGTATGTTACCTCATTATCACTTGAAACTATATACAGGAGAGATGCGGAGCTGTGAAACAAATTATAAGTGTGTATAACTGCGCTTAAGGGCACCACGGTTTGACATCTTGTTCGTGGTGTGTTGTGTATTGGAAGTGTCTAGAATTACTGTACAGGCTCGTATACTGTACAGCGTATGTCCAAAAGTCACCCATCGTATATATACTCAAAGTCTAGTCTTGTGTATTTTCTGCCGATTAGACGAAGCGTCCACAGGAGTCGAGGGGAAATAATGGCACATCTGAGTCATCTTAATAGATCAAGAATGGCCATTTGCTTCTCCACTCAAATCGACACTGATGAATGAAACCAGGCCGGTTCCACCTCCAATAGCGAACGTACCGTTGTAATACGCCGATACTTTGGGTCGGTACTCCACTGGCAGCCAGAGAACTCTTTTGTCCCCGATGTGCAGCCATTGCTCTCCCAATATCACATTTCGTCCTTGGTTAGGTGAGGAGTCGGTCGCCTCATCGGAAGGGATACGAAGCTTTCCAAAGTCTGCTTCCAAGTATGTGTTGTCGCTTGAAAAGCGTAAATTGGCTATCCCGGCCCGATAATGGCACGCATGATAGTTGGAAGTAAAAATGGAATTTCCCGTTTCTCTATCCCACAGACGAAAGGTCTGAGAAAGGGTTCCAGAGGCCACAAGTCTCCCATCTGTGGAGAACGCGACCTGGCTGATAGCTCCAGAGTCCTGCAGAGTTTGACATAAGTCACCTTTTGCCAAATCCCAAAAACAGAGCTTTGCATCATTGGACCCCGAGGCTATGAGTCTTTCATCCGGTGAAAATGCGACTGCCGTGACTCTAGTTTTATGCCCTTTTAGTTCTTGTTGTAGCACGCCTGTACTGGCATCCCACACTCGTACTGCATCGTGGGAGCCTGTGGCTAATTTCGCTCCAGTTTGTGAGAATGCCACACACACCCAACTTCCACGCGACTCCAGGCTGTACATTCGTCCCCCGGTTTGAATATCCCATAAAGTGATTGCCCCATGTTCTTCTATTGAAGCCAACTGCCGACAGTTGGGAGAAAACATCACGCGGTCAACTGAATCCAGGTGGTCCTCAAGCGTGCGATGCAGCTGACCTGTTTCCACGTTCCATAGCTGAATACATGTACTGTTCGACTGCGGGCGAAACGCCACTAATTTGCTGTCAGGTGAGAAGGAAAAGGTCCCGGATTTCCCTGAATAGTCGTTGAGAGTGTGAAGCAGAAGACCTGTAGTAGCATCCCACAGTAGAACTTTATGATCAGAGGAGACTGAACCAAGGAACTTGCTATCAGGAGATAGCTGTATCGCAGTAACTTCATGCGAATGGGCCTGTATAGTAGAATTTGTTGCAGCGATCCTTGTGTCACACAGCTGTACACGTCCATCATCGGAGCATGATACGAGTAGGTCACTGTTCGGAGAAACTGCTAGTTTCCAGGAGTCGCGGCTACTCACATCAAACCTGTGAAATAATGTGCTCAGAATCCTGTCCGATAACCGGGCGCGATTAAACCCCGTGGCTTCAAGTATACGTTCTGGTGAGAAAATAGACGATTCTATCCGATCAAAGCCGACCTTCTGCTGCAGTTCACCTGTGCCTGCATCCCATATCCAAATTTCTCTATCGCCGGGGACGGATGCCATAAGCTCATTGTTTGGGGAGAACCCGACTGATCTAACAGACCCGCTATGCTCGAACGTCTGCAGTAAAGCTCCCGTGTCCAATTCCCAAATCCTTACGGATTCGTCATTTGATCCAGATGCTATTAGTTTGCCGTCCGGGGATATAGCCAATGTGTTCACTCTGTGGGAATGGCCTTCCAGTGCTCGGATTACTATATCACTGGTGAGATCACAAATATAGATTGTATCATCAGAGGAAGCCGAGGCCAATAGCTTATTATCCGGTGAGAAAGCCAGCGAGAGCACTGGAGAGGTAAGTTGCGTAAAGGACTTGTACAGAGCCCCCGTATCTATATCCCACAACTGGACTGTGTGATCTTGGATTGTATCATCCCAAGAGCTACATGCAACATGAGTACCGTTTGGTGAGAATGTCATACCACTAGTATAGAAGACCTGGTCCAGAGTATGGAGCAACAGCCCCGTAACTGAATCCCACAACTTGACCGGTTTACCCAGAGTGGCAGAGGCGATCAGTCTACTGTCTGGGGAGAATACCACAGTGTCCACATCCTTTATGTCGAGGGTCAGAAGTTGTGCATTCCAATCCTCTTCCACTTTAGGTAGCTTTGGAAAGCGCCTAGGTAGCTCGCTTTCGAAGATATTCCGCACAACTGAGTTTGTTGGGGCAAATGCCAGGGCGGCAGCGTAGAGCTGAAGAGGTGCATTGTTAATAACCCAAGAATTCTTCAAAATAAACCGGTTTGCATCATAAAAGAATTTCGACACTATATGCCCGGAGGGAGGCTTGTACTGGTTAGTATATCTAGGTGAAAGTGGTTTGCATTACAGGTGAAATGAGAACCTACTTGCACTGCTGACTGTAATGTTTTGATACCACTCACAATCTCTTGTGCCAGGCCTAAAACACTCATGGCTTCCAGCCAGTGAAGAAAATGTTTTTGAACAAATTTGTGGATCTCGTCGTGATCCGTAATTTGATATTTTCCCCGCTGTAGGTGATAGATCCAGTGATGGCACGAGTACTGGAGCTCAGCTGGAAGATAGTCTCGGATAGTCTCATCGCTTATATCACTTCGTGACGCCGCGTCGCTCGATAGTTGACAAATATTTTTTGACAGCCCACCTTTCTGTCGGGCCATCACCTCGATGCATCTGAATAGAGTTTCCTTATGTATATGCTCCTCATCAATCCAGAACTCGGTCTTCGTACGGACTTTTGGATGAAGGAGGAAATCCCGAAATGACTGGTGGAAAAGCTGTATAGGCGTCCCCTCATCGTCAGGGATACTTAAGACTGAATGAAGGAAATCCAATCTACGGCTCACGTCGCTACTCGGGACATTCAGGAGTTTTGCCAATGACGTGAGGGCGAGCGGGTTCGCAAGAATGATGATTGTCCCTACAATCACTCGATATTCTTGAACCAGCTGCGCTTTCTCGTCGTCATCTTCGTCGTCATCCCCACTATGGAGGATTTGCTCAAATACGGGAAGGTATGTGTGTTCCAGCTTCGAGATATGACTTGTGGACGCATTCTCGGTACTTCCTGAACCGAGAACCAGAGCTAGGCGCTTTTCTGGGTTCCACCTCCTATCTGCAATAAAGCGGCACATGGTAGCAGCAGAAATGAATAATGGACTAGCCATGTTGACCAAATCCTGGATTGTCTTTTCCCCTGGCCATCCTTTAGGAAGCGATAGTTTTCGCCTCATCTCTTCAAATCTATCATTCATGAACAGAAGTATGTCATGCTTGATGGAAGATTCCACAATCTCATGGAGACCAATTGTCCGATGGTTATCTCCCGAAACGTTATCGAATCCCTCGCGGATTGGAATCTCGGGGCGGCTAGTGAGAAAAACGCGGATGCGAATCGAACTTTGAGTTGAAACCATAGGAAGAAGACGAAGTAGAAGCCCAATATCATTTTCTGGGTCGCATTCATCTAGCGCGTCAACCACGACAACTAGAAAGGAGGTTCCCGCCGGATCATGTTTGACTGCTAATAATGGCTCAAGTAACAGCTTGTTAAACTGCTCTCCTAAGGACTTTGTCGATATAGAAGGATCTCTCTGGATTGCTCTTCGGATACTGGGTATAAGACGAGGTTCCTGAACAATGATTTGCCGAACTATCGTTGCAAAAAACTTCTCTGCGCTGCCACAATCCGACTTCCCTCTCTTGAAGAAGAAACTGGCCCCCAAAAGTCCCTGTTCTTGCAGTAATTTGCAAACAGTACGTGAAACAGTTGACTTTCCTGTTCCTGCCATCCCATTTAGCCAAAAGATGCATTCTCCTTGAGTTGAGAGTGACCAGTCCGTCACCTGCTTAAGAAGGTCTGTTCTGGTTCCTGGGAGACACTCTACTTCATGCTGGTTCGTGTATGAGTCAAATGCAGCTCCTTCAGCAATGGTTAATTTGCAGAGTTCCATCTCCCGGCTAATGTCTTGAATACCGCTCAACACGTTGTCAATCTGAGCAAGTGTTTGCTCCGCTCTTTGTTTCCAGAGCAATTGTTGATCAAACTGAACCCATCGTTCCAAGTGCTTCTCCTCCTCTCCAATAGCGGTTTTAAGCGCGGTCAAAGGCTGGTCAGTTAAAGCTATAGCGCTAAGGCGAAACCGCCGTCCAGCACCCGAGCACTGGATTGAAACAACGCTAGATGAGTATCGCAATACAGCAAAATAAACACGAACTATGGCGTTGCGCAACATGTCTTTTGTCTCTTGATTAGTGCTGTTACTCTTTAGGCACTGTCTCTCAATGAAAGCACACCGACTCAGCACATCCGTGAGAAGCTCTGATGCTTGGAAAATTGAAGCTTGTAGATCCTGATGATTTTGTATCATCTGCTTCTTGATTAGCCTATCTTGCCTCTGATATTGCTTTCTTGATGATCACTCCACATACGGTTAATCCCACTGATATAATGCCCCAGACTTTTCCTGCATACCCAGTGGGGTCACAGCCAACAGCAGCACCGATAATATCTTGGAAGGATAATGTCGCGCTGACTATCTTGAGAGCAGAATCTCGAACGTTGATATCTTCTCCCTTTGGCCGTTTAATCTTGAGCCCTTTCCTTTGATATTCGTCGTACCGCTTTTTGGTCGTCTCTATAACAGTATGTACCAAGTCCGCCATCTGAGGGTCGGGACTGTTCTCGTCACGCGTATCGAGAAGCACCAGCTTGCGTTGATCATCGGGATTTAATTTGGCAAAGGCAGTTTGCCACAGATCTTGCGAGCTTGGCTGGGGTTCATTTTGGCGGTCTTCAATCGCAGAGTTGGCTCCAGCGCTAACAGATGACAAATTGGTCTCAGGGGATGCCACAGTCGCATTGGATTTATCAGTATCTGGTTGTGGGTCAGTATGTTTTCCTGATTTCTTGTGCCGGTCTCTTCTGAAAAGTTGTCTGATCTTGAATCCCATGTTGCCCAGTGCCCTTGCTCGAGAAACTTGTAAAAAGAGAAACTTACGGAATCGGAAGATGAGCGAGGCGCCAACACGGCGGCCATTTTAAATGCGACCAGGTCGTGCTGTAAGCGCTCGCAAGGCTGGCGACTAATTATGCATCTGTAACGATAGGCTTAACCGAAAACAGAATCTTTAGTGCGTCGCTTCGTGCGCAGCCTTGCAGTAAATTTACATTTCTTTTTTTTTTCGGGTGTATCAGGTGCACTTTCCTATATAACTGTTAGTATCAATAATATTATATTAGTCGGTAAAGTACAGAATATCCTGTATAAATCGAACAACAGGCCGGGCAATCGGGAGGGCGAACAAAGTCAATTGGCTCTAGGTATATGTCGGGAATCTATCCAGTGGGCGGGGGCCATGTCACTGAATTAATGAGAACAGCCCACCCGGCGGCTAGCCTCCATAAATAGCACCTGCCTAATATTGATTAGCCCATCCAGCTGATTTTGGATGTTACTAACGCCCATAGGCAGCGCCCATACTAGGTACGGCTTCTTGGTAGTGTTTTGATGAACACGAATCTAAGGACACGATCCCATGCTGAATACCACATAGCCACTTATCTATTTAGAGGATCCAGCCGCTATGTAGATCAAGTATAGGTACTTGTCCTAGTACTAACCTAACATTTTTATCAAGAAAGCATATTGAGTCTACTTGGTAGGATTTTCAGCTGAAGTATGCAACCGGGCGCAACATGCTCATTCAGCAGTTGAATCCATCGCTAGTCCCAGGAAGGTAGAAACGAAGCCCCTATGATTGTGATCGGACACTTAAGTTCATATAAAGTATTGATGAACATGATACAGATTGTAGCCTTCCTATCAGATAAGATGTACTGTTCCTAATCGGGCTACTATAACCATAAGCTAGGAAACCTTGATGACTAGATCGGCTATTCCTATAGTGGTAATCCTGATATGACGCAGGCGCGGTGCCTTCAGGGCTCGGTGTACTGTGTAGTAGTTAATACATAGTTGATTTGTCAACTGGGTGTATATGACCTTAACAAATGCAAGATTGCGTCAATATATAGGATGAATCCACCACTAGGTTATTACCATTACGGTAACTTAATGAATATCAAGTTGGTACGCATAATACATGACCTTTTTTCTGATAAGACTGGTGTCCTGCAGGCTTCCATACCAACATTTCGGAGATGTTTAGCGTTTCGAGCTCGTTCGATTCCTCCTCTTTCTTTTGGGGTAATATTGTACAGGAAAATTGTTCAACCAGGTATATAGTGACATTAAATATATAGTCTAGCTTATAAAGTACAGCTAATAGAAATAAGTGAATGGGGTCTACATGATGTTCTAATGAAGTCATGGTATAACAAACGCAAAGAATGATAGTAGGCAGGCCGAAGAAAAGGCCAGTATGGTTCTATCCCAAAATTTGTGTGACAGAATCAAGATGAAGAGAAGTTAGTATATAAACAAATAGCATGAACGAAAGATGGGGGATGTGAAGATGTAAGTCTTTGAACATAAAAGGCCAGGAGATGTAACAAAATGCTGTAGGATATGAACTGAGCAAATATTCGCAAGAACATATGTTCATCTTGAATGTGAAGCGGAAAGGATGCAGGTCACCTAGACTATGTAGCACCAGATGCTCGTTTCCCCTTAGGGACACGGGCCAGCCAGTAGATAAAAACTGCTGCGGCAATATTAAACCCGATGTACACCCACATCAGACCGAAATTCCTCCAGGCATCTTTAAAGCTGCTAGATATCGCGGCAAGGTATGTGTCGGTTTTGCTAACCGTGCAGAAAGCACAATCTGTTGTGGCTTCCGGGTTCTGCAAGTAACCCTGGGCTTGCGTGATATATGCTGCCATATATTGCTGGCAGCTTTGATTTGCCGGGGGATCAAAGTGGAGAAACTCAACTGCCTCACACTGAACATCAGTGCCAGATAGGCCAGTAGACAACATTGCAGAGACCAAATAAGTGAACGGTGATACACGGTACATGAAGATCCAGAATCCAGGCATGTTCTCTGGGGTTGCAAGGACACCGCAGAAGATAAGGCAGAGAGAGAAGAGCAAAGTAGCAATATTACCACCTGTCTCAGCCAGCTCTATACCTGCTATAACCATATGAGCAAAGGTGGAAGTGAAGAGTAGGAATACCCAGATAAGTAGGAACATGAGACCTCCACGTTCAGTCACTGCATCGGTAGGCTTCGCGTTATTATACAGCCCAATTGGGTAGTACCAACAGAAGAACATCAGAGCTGCCATTAGAGTATTCCAGGGCAATTCAACAAGAATATTGGCTGTCATGAAGGCTTGCCAGGAATATGTTTTCGATGGACGCTCACGGACTTCATATAGTGACCGTTGCGTGACGAAATGAGGCATAATCTGTTGCACTAAATTACCGAAGATCGTCATCAACATGAATACACTGAACATCTGATTCTGCATCCCTTGGATTGAGTTCTTGGCGTGGAAAAAGGAGAATCCGATATAAATGGAGGTCAGAATTGAAAGGGCTGTTTTAGACCAGATATAGCTTGGCGTGCGGTAATATTGAGCAAAGACACGGACCAAGCATTCCCATAATTGAATGTAGAATGGTGCCGCATATTCCTTGAAGGCCTCTGGGTCAGAGGTTTCCTCTGGCTTGACAGATAAAGTTGACTTCAACTCGGCAAGATGTTCTTTGACCTTCGCATGCTCAGGGCTTTCACGCCACACCTTCGGCCAGTCTATATCACTGTGAGATCCTGGGGCCGCTCCAATCACATCCAGCATCCACTCGGCTGGATTCTCTCCAGGAGATAGAGGCTGTGCGCCATTGCGTTCAAAGTAACTGGATAGGGTAGACGAGTTCTGGCCAATTTCACCAAAGTAGATCGTCTTTCCACCTTTAGCCAAGAAAAGAAGGCGATCAAAACGTTGAAACAACATGGCAGAGGGCTGATGAATAGTACAAAGAATTGCCTGGCCGTGTTGGGTCAAAGTATCAATCAAATCCAGGATTGACCAGGAGGTTTGACTATCGAGACCAGATGTAGGTTCATCCAAAAACAACAAAAGTTGAGGCTTTGCAGCAAGCTCAACTCCAATAGTCAGACGCTTGCGCTGTTCCACATTCAAGCCTTCTCCAGGCACCCCAACAACTGCATCAGCATAAGCCTCCATACCAAGGAGTCTGATAACTTCCTCAACGTAGTCAAGTTTCTCCTGGTGGCTGACATGTGCTGGCTGACGTAATATCGCACTAAATCTGAGGGCTTCGCGAACAGTAGATGTGGCTAAGTGAAGATCCTGCTGCTGCACGTATCCTGTTTTACGCTGGAAGGATTGGTCACGAGGACGCCCATCCACAAGCATCTCGCCAGTAATAACTCCCATAGTAACGCGTGTAGCGAGCACATCCAATAACGTTGTCTTACCTGCTCCTGAGACACCCATCAAGGCGGTACAGGTACCAGGCTTAACCCAACCGTCAACGTGGTCCAGAATTCTCCTAGGTTGCCCCTTGATCTTTATATCGTAGCAGACATCCTTCCACTGAAAGATTGCGGTTTGTCTTTGGATTCCCGCTGACGCTTGAGGAGCAGATTCATCGGTTTTCGGTGCACCACTTGGCTCGGGCGACTCCGGATCGGTCTTATCCAGGGCTACTTTAGGCTGATGCCCACGGCGAAATAAGAGCACTTCACCTTTCGATTTTTGCTCTGAGATATATTCCGTGGATGCAAGGTACGTGAAAGCAAAGAAAACTAGGAAGGCGATCATAATACCCAGGTTTCTCCACAAATGCCCTTTGACATATTGAAAACTCTGTTCAAGATAGACTGTACCCTGCACAATCGTTGAACCAGTCTCCGCTCCAACTGTAGAGCAAATCCGATTCTGCATCGGCATACTTTCGTAAGTTCCTCCAGATGGGACAATTTGAGAGCATTCGAAGTGACGGCCATGGAACTCATTGACCATAAAGCTCTCAAAGGCGTAAGATATGGGGTTGATGTAGTTCATCCAACGGGACCAGCCGAGCATATTTCTGGTAGGGATAACAAAACCAGTATAGATCACCATACCCAGGATCAAGATTGCCGCAGGGACAAGTGCTTGAGACAGAGAGCGAGATGTCGCTGCAATCGTTCGAAAGATCATTGACATAGTGTAGGTTGTAACCACCGAAAAGAGCCAGAATGTCCACCAAGCTCCTGCATCACGTCGTAGGTTAGTCATAAAGTACAACGGGAGATTGAAAGTGATTGAGTTAATGATTTTGTAAGGCGTATCACACAGCATAGATGCAACAGCCTCTGCAAATGGATGATAGAAGGCATAACGAGCTTGCTTTTCCACAATCGGCCGTTGGGCGTACAGAGTCAAAATTTCCAAAGCACTGGAGAACGCATTCAGAAGCACTGCATAGAACAGTAAAGCTCCTCGAGAGTAAAAGCTGTCAGTATTATCCTGGAGGTTGAAGAAAACTGAAGCAACAATTAAGGCTATAATAAAGTTGCCAATCAAGGCAGTTATCGTCAAACTGGAATCACCTTTGAGGCGCTGAAAACCGCGGACGACGCAAAGAGAGATTTGCTCCCATATCGAGATTGTGTACGGGGATTTGACACGTTGATGCTTTGCCTGCATAGTTTTGCGAGCATCAATAAAGGATTGATAGGAGGCGCCGCCGATTGGGTACTGTTTCTCAAACTCGTCGATTTCCATCATCAGCTTCGCCCGAGCGTCGCTTCGTTTCCATGCAGTGGCAAACTCATCCGGAGTGCGAGGCACGCGGCTTTCAAAACCGGGGCGGACCTTTCTTTCTGAAGCGCTGGTAAGGGACGTTAAGAAATCAGCTGTTGTCTGCCGGTCAGGGCACTCAAATCCCATATCCACAAAAAACTGCTTAGCCTCCGTCGTTCGGCCAAAATAGATTTGTCTTCCTTCATAGAGTACCGTCACCTTATCAAACACATCATATGCACTTTGCGATGCCTGGTAAATAGCTACGCAGGCAGCCGTGCCAGCGTATTTACTCATCAAGGCTAGGTTCTTGCAAAATTCCAAAGCATTCGCACTATCAAGACCTCTGGTGCTATTATCCCAGCATTGAAGCGGTGCCTGGCTTAGGGTGGCTTCCGCAATACTGACACGCTTTCGCTCTCCACCACTGACTCCACGGACATAGTCGTTGCCAACACGAGTATTAATCGTATGGGATAGTCCAAGCATTGTCATTACCACGTCTCTCATATGTTCAGCGTACTGCTGCCGACTAACGCCCTCTAAGCGATTTCTAGGAGCTCGGGCAAGCGCTGCAAACTTCAGAGTATCACCAACAGAAAGCTGTGGGAAATGAACATCAGTCTCAGCTGAGTAAATCGCTTCACCTTTGAATGCATGGTGCATCAATTTTGCAGGTATACCTAAGCATCACGGTTAGTCTCCACAAATGAAAGGATAGGTTGGTAAGGGTGGAGAGTTGAAGAAGGAAACTGGGTATGCATACCCTGATAGTTGAGTGTCGAGTCATCTGACATCTGAATCCCGTTCATCTCACCAGAAATCGTCTTGAGGAACGTGGAACATCCACTTCCCGGTCTTCCCAACACCACCAACATCTCACCACTTTTCACCAGGCCATCGAATTCCCGAAGAATCTGGATCTTTTGCATCTTGATTCCCATCAACTTGCGGACAATAGTACCTATCTCTAGGAGCGAGTTCAAGACATCCTTTTGGTAGTCTGTTGGAGACCCGAATCCATGGACATTTAGATTTTTGAAGGCAACACCGGCTGTTCGGTCTGGGTACTGCTCAGGGTCACGAGAGCGAATGGCAAGCAACATCTTAAGCCAGTCTCTTGGCTTGAAATTTGGGCTGTCAGGATTGAGAGTAGATTCAGGGTCCTCCACAAAGAATGGATTTTCGAGGGCGCCTTTCGCAGAGATTCGAGTCGATTGACGGGTGAGTCGTCGAGCTAAATCACCCACCCGAACCTCCATTTTCTCTTCGTTGTCTTCTTGCAGTGTCAACGCATCGTCGCTCTTCTCTCGATCAGCGTACTGAGTGCCTGAAGTTGATGGAGTATCATAAACTGGATTGTCCTCATCTGTATCGCCATGGCTCCGCAGAGGGTTATTATGACTAACCACAGACTGCTGCCGAGGATCCTTTGGATTAACTGTCCCTAAGAAGGACATTTTGACTTGACTGGCCTCCGGCTTTAGGCTAGTCCTCCCATTGACGATGCAGACCGAAAATCCGTTGGCAATGTTACCTTGGCGTAACCAACGATGCACGAAACGTGCGACACAAGAGCTGAGATTTGCCTTTTTGTCAGTGGAAACCAAAGCTTTACGTTAATCGAACAATATATAAACTAAGGACCTTGCTTGAAAAGACTTGAATTGGTCCGTCTAACTAAGGATACAACTGCCATAGGGGCAAGGAGATGATTATATAGGACTCCAGTCAAATCGTCTACGCACATGCAACCGGCGAGAAGGGTTCCACATCCAAGGGGCAAAATAATGATAAACAATGCGGATGAACGCTCCGCTGCACAGCGAACGTCCGGGGCCCGAGCAATGCCTTATCGGAATATGGCTGTCCTGATATGTCGAGCCCTACCATATCAGTTATGTGATCTAGAAGAGCTTATGGTTTTGACACCCGATTTCCGAGCCAACCACATCACCGGACGGGGCATGCTGATGGTATATATATGTGCCTCTAGGGATGCAAAACGTGGGTGTTCCACCTGGCTGCAGCCTAGAGCCGATTAGCAGACGGTCATCAAATCGATCCCATCTCTTCGGAGATGAACGGGAGTCAATGGCCCGGCAAACTTGAGATGTATCAATACCGTGTAACTTACAGTACAGAACGAACATCCGTCATCCGGGCCTGCCAAGACATACGACGGATTTAGTCCCAGCAACGACCCGGTCATTGGCTTCTGCTGCACACGATTCGGCTGGTGGATTTCCCGAATAAGGCCTGCCCTAGTACATCTCGAGATCGACAGTGGTTGCTCCGCTCTAGACCAATGTCCCAGGTCATGATGCCCCACGACAAATCCTTGGGTCTTTCCCCATTCCTTCTATTTCACCTTTTCTCAACATCATCACATAGACATATTAATTATCGACTTCCCAATTTCTCGAATAATGAGTCGCAGCAGCCAGCAAGTTGATTATCGTCGGCATATACCCCATGACTCCATGACCAGGATACTTGCGCAGTCAGATATAGGGGTTGCGAAACAGGAACCTTCGAGACATAAAGTACGCGGTCTGGTTCATATGACCACAATACGTTACTGATGAACCCCAGGTTTGCAACGCATGCCGTCGCAAGAAACAGGGTGGCGACTTCAGCGCAACGCTTAGGTGCTCTATGTGCCGAGAGCGACGAGCTTCTGGTACGCGCAATGAGGAGAGATACAGAGCAGATATGAGAAGGTACTGTAGAACTGAAGTGTCAATATTATGTTTTTGCAGGGCAGAAGTCTTACATGCTGAGTGAAGACGTGTGATGATCAACCGACTGGAAACGAACATCGAACGGATGGAGTCTCGATTATACGATATGGGGCTTAGACTGGGCGAGAGTAACACGACTGCTACTCAAGAATTTCTGTGCTCAAATATCCCTGTATTAGAACGCTCCGATAGTAATACCGCAGGTGACCCAGGGTTTGGAAATTTTTGCGCTGGCCGGGAGCCAAACCTCATGAGGAATACTAGCAATGCTGGTGCTAATCCAGGCATAATATTCTCATACAAAAACGTAGAGAATTGGCCGCCGTGTCTTGCATCCTTTTCCATTCCGCGGTCGTTGGTCGATGTACCACTTGCAGGAGGTCAGACTTCCGTATATTCGATACTCTTAATTTATAAGTGAGATATATGTGAGCTAATAATATCATTCTAGGTTTCTCGGCTATCTCTCAAAAAGGGTTGGAGTGGATATCTCAAAAAGTTGGAAACATGTCGTTAGGGAATCTCTCGTCATTACTGTCGGGAAAAGGCGTCGTTGAAAATACAACCAATAGTCCTCTCGATGGCGCATTCCCCAGTCGAGTGTTTTGCTCACTGCCAACAAAGGAGGAGATTGTCTCCCTCGTCCAAGACTACATCGAGGACTTCAATATGCTGTTCCCAATTTTTCAGCGGTCCGAGCTACTCTCCCTCTTCAGTCAAAAAAGCTTGGACATGAAAGTTCAAACACCAAGCCAGTGGGCCTGCGTAAATGCAGTCCTAGCAACAGCATACATGATTCGCCCTCGAGATGAAGGATCTGGGACAGATCATCATCACAAAAGCTGGTTGTTCATCCAAAATGCCTTAGAAATGGTGAATGAGCTCTGTCTTGGCCCACCAGACCTTTTGGGTCTCCAAGCGCTCCTCCTAGTGGTATGATTTGACACTCACGTGTTTAGGCGCATGACCCGAGTTAAAACTTTTGGTATAGGCTACTTTTCTTCTGGGAACGTCGGCTGAGACTCCATGTGGCTTTTTGGTCTCCGCCGCTATTCGCATCTGTCACGAACTGGGCTTGGGCAACACAGAAGATGACTCTCCCTTGTGTTCGGAAGAGATCCAACACAAGCGGACAGTATTTTGGATCGCTTATTGCTTAGATCGAGAGTATGGCTATTGTGAATTGTATTCTACCCCCTAAGTTTGGGACTAATTCTAGGCAGACTATCCCTTCGGTTCTGTGAACCGCCGGCGCAAAGCGATGCAGACTTCAGTGCGACTTTACCAATGGACGCACCGACCGACAGCAAGTACAATATGCCAACTAGTGATCTATCTGGGAGTTTCAATGCGTTCCGGTCAACTTGCCAGCTTGCTATGATCAAGGGGCAACTTTATAGGGACCTTTACTCCCCCGCTGCGGAGGATAGGCCACTGAGCCAGGTCATCGCCTCAGTCGGAGTGTTAGACGAAAAGCTCCAAGAGTGGAAACGAAGCATTCCACCCGAATACCAGCCGGAAAAGGCCGTAGCTGATGGCCACCGGTCAAAAATATCACCTGTGTTACTTTTGCTACATTATTCGTACTTCCACTGCATGATTGCAGTTCACCGTCGTGTTGTCGCCCGGGGATTGAGCATCGGGACAGATCTTCTGGAGAAGGATGACTTTACGAGCTCGCCCGCCTCGTTATCCAATCCCAGGGTATTGCTGTCTACGTCACTCTGCACCAAAGCCGCTAGAGCATCTATCAACCTTACAAAATATTTATCGCAGGAGAATACACCCTTTTTTGGGTGAGTGTCACTGGACCCTTCGCTTTGAAAGCTGCTAACGTTTCTTGAAGGTCTTTGATATATTACCCAATGATTGCGTCAATGACCCTTTCATGGAGTATCATACGTAACCCCCAAGATGCTTATCGAGGATACAATTTGAAACTAATTGACCGGACGGAGGATTTTCTGTCCTCTCACACTTTCTGCAAAGCCTTTGAGGGGATACGGCGCCTTGCGAAGCAGTGCGCTGAATACCGCTCCATTGCAGAAGCTGCAGTGAAGGCCACAATGTAGGTATACTATACCACCGGCCTGACTAGATCAGGCGCCATTACTGAATTGCAGCCCATATAAGAGAACCTCACTTGCAGTGTGGACAAGATGACAAATGCCTGTGGATCAGATGACCGCCACCTCTCACCTTTGAGGCTGACATACTCAAATGTTCTATGCGCAAATACCTAATCTAAGTATACTAACCCGGTTACCAGAAGGGTCTCATTGCTTTCCAGGCATAACCTTTTACTAGAATAAGACGTCTGGGCAGGTTATAATCCTTTGCCCAGCTGCCGTCCCTTCCGCTGCAGGGCATGAAGCGAGCTTCCACACTGTCGGGTTCACGGGGTGTATGGTCGACTTAGGGTCTTGTCAACAGGCCAACTTTGGTCTTGACCGCCTCTTAAGGCTGATTAGTCTTCTTGTTCGCTTTTGATCCACCCACCTCTCTCCGGCGTTATTGTGATGGAAATGTTTAATGAATATACCCGTGCAGGCGAATATGAATACCGAATGGATACCCATGAAGAGGTTCATTGTAAAAATTCGACCATGCAAGCACTATAATCCCATACTGTTGTCTTCAATATACCACCGGATCTGTTTTAATAGAGGGTGGAATGTATCTTAGTCACGTAATGAGCAATATATATAATGACTGTCAATTGGTTCTTTCTACCTAGAAGGTACGTAGCTTACGGCAAAACCACTAATAAGGACTGAGTAGATTAAGCTATCCGTTGTGAATAGTACCTCAACATTTTAGCTTCATGATTCTTTAGTATTTACATTTTATACTACTCGGTATTCCGTGCATAGAGGGTAATCTCGTGAATATCTGAGTATGACGTAACACACCATGCTTCCGGAAGCACGGGCCACTTGACGAGGGCTATCAGCTCACGTGAGCGGTGAAGAACGACGGAAGGAGAGAGAGAGGTCACGGTGTGTTTAGGCGAGAGAGCAGAGCGCGTCATAGGTAAGAAAACCTTAGCATTCGGAGAACACGTTGAATTTTTTTATTGCCTTTTCATAATCAACCACCGAGAAAAAAAAAAAAAGTTCCATCATACGCTCAGGTGTACCAGTAATCGACCATTGCTACCCCTCATTGACCCCTCCTCTTCCCTAAATTTTTCTTCTTTTCCCTTCAATTCGCCCACCAGCAAGCTGTGGGCACCGTCAAAACGTCGTCCATCCAATCCCCCTCCGTTTTTCTTTTCCTTTCCCTTCCCCTCCGAATAGAACGAACCGCAGCTGGTCCTGCTTTGGCCTCGCGCCTCCAATCCTACTGTTGCCGTCCCCGCGTCACTCCTCCGTCCACTTTCTCTTTCTTCTCCTACCGGAGCTACTCCAGCAAGAAGAAGAAATCCAACAAAAAGATGCCTCCCAAGAAAGCTGTTGTACAAGAGAAGGTCCTTTTGGGCCGTCCAGGAAATAACCTGAAGAGCGGTATCGTATGTGAGCATTGACCCCACCGGCTATTTTTTTTTTTTTTCACGCCCACTTCCCAGCCATCCTATTTTTCCCTAACCCTATTTAAGCACACTATCCTCACCTTCCCCTGAAATTTTTTTTTTCTTCTCTTTCTCATTCCACATCAACACACCATGTAGTCCTGTCAAGGAAAACAAATATGTTCAATATTAACATGACCATAGGTTGGTTTGGCCAACGTCGGTAAATCGACACTCTTCCAAGCCATTACCAAGTCCAACTTGGGTAACCCGGCCAACTTCCCCTATGCCACCATTGACCCCGAAGAGGCGCGTGTCATTGTTCCCGATGACCGTTTCGATTGGTTGTGCGAGCACTACAAGCCCAAGTCGCAGGTTCCTGCCAACTTGACGGTCTATGATATCGCCGGTCTGACTCGTGGTGCCTCTACCGGTGCTGGTCTCGGTAACGCTTTCTTGTCCCACATCCGTGCCGTCGATGCCATCTTCCAGGTCGTGCGTTGCTTCGACGATGCCGAGATTATCCACGTTGAGGGTGATGTCGACCCCGCCCGTGATTTGACAATCATCAGCGAGGAGCTTCGGGTCAAGGACATTGAGTTCGTTGAAAAGGCTCTGGAGGGCTTGACAAAGCAAACGAAGCGCGGTGGACAGTCTCTGGAGATGAAGAAGCTGCGCGAGGAGGAGGCCACTGTTGCCAAGGTCCTCGAGCACCTGAAGGCCGGCAATGATGTCCGCAAGGCCGACTGGAGCCCCAAGGAGGTATGTTAGATTTTGTTCTTCTTTCTAAACCCCTTTGCACAAATTTCATATGATGAATAAGAGCTTTGCTCGAATATAACCCAGCTCGTCGAAGGGCCTCATATTATACCAACGCGAGGTCACATGAGATTACGTCCTATCTGATATTACTCCGTATTCTGTTATTGTCACAGTCAATATCTTTTTGTATGCTTGGCACTAACAACTTCTAGGTTGAGGTCATCAACCCCCTCCAGCTCCTCACTGCTAAGCCCGTTGTCTACCTCGTCAACCTTAGCGAGAGAGACTACATCCGTCAGAAGAATAAGCACCTTCCCAAGGTCGTTGAATGGATCCAGAAGAACTCTCCTGGTGACCCTCTGCTCCCCTTCTCCGCCTGTTTCGAGGAGCGCCTGACTCAGTTTGAGACTGAGCAGGAGGCCCTCGAGGAGTGCAAGAAGTTGGAAACCAAGTCTGCTCTGCCCAGGGTGATCACCACCATGCGTAAATCGCTGAACTTGGCCAGCTTCTTCACCACTGGTGCCGACGAAGTCCGCCAGTGGACCATCCGCAAGGGTATCAAGGCCCCTGCTGCTGCCGGTGTCATCCACACCGACTTTGAGAAGACTTTCATCCAGGTCATTGTTTACAACTATGCTACTCTGCGTGAGTACGGCGATGAAGCCGCCGTCAAGGCCGCTGGTAAGGTCATGACCAAGGGTAAGGACTACGTCGTTGAGGACGGCGATATCCTCCTGATCAAGGCCGGTGCCGCCCGTGGTTAAGTCCAGATACCTTAAATTGTAGATGATATGAATGAAAAATAACAATTTATACCACAAACCATCTTTTCCTCGTAAATGAAAACTGTACTTGATAGTGTAATAGAAATATTTCGATAAATAACTGAACCCAACACGTGACGCTAGCAGCCCTTCCCCGCGTCAACCTCTCCCCGCCAAGCGCGCAGTTTGACCTCATCGTAAGAACCAACATCAACAACAAAAAATCACGCAAAATGTTCAAGAAAGAGTAAGTAAATACCATGTCAAACTATGAAAACAACCTCCGACAGGAAATCCCATCAATTCCTCCATCCCGACACCCCCAAAGTCCAAAAAAACCCCCCGCAAGCAAAACAATCCCAGACCTCCGATACACGTTCATACCCATGACCTCACACCTTTCAAAAATCACCACCAAAAAAGAAAAAAGCAAACAACATCCCCCAAAGAGGAATCCAGACTAACAATGAAACCAAAAATAATAGGATCCCCCCGAGCAATCGCTCAAAAGTGAAATCCAGCGTGCAGCGCGGCCTCCGCCAACGCTTCGTCGAAGCATACCCAGGCTTCGAGCCTTACATTGATGATATCCTGCCGAAGAAAGCTCAGCTCGATGCTGTCAAACTGTACCTCTCCTTTTATTCTTTTACGCCCTACATTATATTCCTTGATGCATACCCCATACCCCAATACAAAGAGTTATCACACTATATCGCATCTATATGAAATAGCTACATGAACATAACCCCTCACATACAACAACACACCCCACCACCACCCCCCAACCACAACCATGGCCAAAACCCAACCAAAAAGAAACCACAAACTAACAGAATGAACCAATACAGCCCCGAAAAATGCACCCTCTACACAATCGACTCCACACCCCTCTTCTACCAACCCCAAGACGGCCCTCCCATCCCCCACCTCAAACTCCTCCACCAATATCCTACCGCCCTACCAACTGTTCAGATCGACCGTGGCGCGATCCGGTTCGTGCTGTCCGGCGCAGCGCTCATGGCACCCGGATTAACGAGTCCCGGGGGCCGGTTACCGGAGAAAGAGAATGCGTTGGAGGCGGGCCAGGTGGTTGCTGTTATGGCGGAGGGGAAGGAGACGGCGTGTCTTGTGGGGACGTTGAAGGTGAGCACTGAGGATATGAAGAGTAAGGGGAAGGGGGTTGTTATGGAGGATGGACATTATCTTGGGGATGGGTTGTGGAAGATGAACCTTGATTAGTTCTTTTTTTGCCCCGGGGGGTGTTTATGAGTGTTTTGTGTTGGGTTGGGTTGGGGAGTGTGCTTGTTTGTTTATTTTTATTGTTGGTTTGGGTATGTTGTGGGGAGTGGATTGATACCTACCTATGCATGGAATGAAGTGATGATGATCATCTATAGATATATGTATTTATTGTAAGGTTATTATCAAAAACAAATGGATTTCAACGATTCATTCAATTGAGTTATACTATGGCTTTGGCTATGTATGACTATGTATGGTTGTGAGATGGTATGTGATGTTATGTACAGATGTGGCAATATATCAGGAAACCTCGTCAACGCTGTCCATTCTGTCTTGGGTCCGGGATGTGTTGCTCTCCTGGCGAGAGATGCTTTGACGGGGTGAGACAGATGATGCGGCAGAGAGTGGCGACCAGGATGGCGTGATTGCTAGACCGAGTCCTTTGACGCTCGTTCCGGATCCGTTTAGGCCGGCCCCCGGGAGGCCTCCGTTTCGGAGACCCGTTCGCTCAATAGCTCGTCGGAGCATCTCGCCTGACCCGTCGAGAGCAATGAGGAACCTTGCCAGCTCGGCGCAGAGCTCCCAGTCGCCCTTTTGCGAGGCTAGCACGAGCAGTCGAACGACATAGTCTTCAATGGGTGCCTCATAGCCATCGTCGTCTTCAAACGCCTGCAGCACTAGAAGGTAGCCGACGGCTGTCTTTAGAGAGTCGAGTCTGAGAGCCTGCTCAAACAGGTCCCTTGGAGGCGGGAGATAGGTGAAGAGAGTACGCCATGAACGAAGCTCGGTCTTTCGCGTGCATTGAACAACAATGTCCAGATACACCCGCGCAGGAAGCGAGGCTTGAAGGAAGGAGATAACCGATGGGAGTAGAGGATCATGCTTCTGCGAAGGGTCCTCCAGTTTGCTATCTCGACTTTCGTTGTCGACTTCGTCGTCCAAAACGTGGTGAAGGAGGATTTCCAGCGCATGCGGGAAGTATGAAAGATGGGAGAAATGCTGACAGAGTGACAGCGCGCCCGGCATATCTCCATGAATTAAGGAATATTGCAAGAAGTACGGAAGGAAGAGGTGTGTCTGTATCGTTAGTCAAGGGGCTATTGCAAAGGTAGGTTTGACTCACTCGAATGGCAAATTTCAGCACAGCAAAAGTGGTATCGCGTCGTTGGGTCATTTCTGACTCGACTCCCAAAGCAATGCCCTTGTTCAACAAAACGGATAGAGGATAAAAGTCTAGGGGTATCTCAATCGCTTTCGGGACATCTTCTCGTCGCAGAATATCTTGCACATCACCCCAAGCAAGAAGGTCTTTGCCACAAAACGTCCACAGAGAGTCTCTCAATGATAAGTTATGATGATGCATATTCAAAGCCATTTCAGCGGACGGGCTCGCCGGAAGGGATTCCTCCATGGGAGGAGCAAAGTTGAATGACAATTGGTCACGCATCAGAATATAGTACTCGACATCATGGGATACCACCCGCATGTCATACTTCAAATCTCCGGTGGGCGATTGAGAAGGCTGTAACAAAACTAAATTGCCGTCGACCAAAAGAAGAACAGATGCCACTTTCACATCTTGAGATGGGTCGCCATCACCTGGTATTGTCAGACCAGCAACATTGCCAACATGGAATAGACACACTCACGCATTTGATCTTCGGGCAAGACCCAGCTGATCGCCCGGACTCGCGTGGGCGCTCGCACAATGCCATTAAACGCAATTTGGCCGACTGGAACAAGTGTGATTCGAGCGTGCATAGAATTTATAATGAAGTGATATAGGATGTTATCATATGTGTAAACGAGGATGGAGTCCTCCCCCGACGGGCCGATGAAGACCACGGGTGAAGGGAGGTATTCAATGTGCAAGATCGATTGATTATTCAGGGGCAGCTCTCGGGAGTACAAACGCAGCTATATCAGTCAGCTCGATACAACGCATTATTGATAATATACGGCACGCACCTCGTATGATCCATCGCTTTCGATGGCGGCGATCAAGATATGTCCGTACCAGCACATACCACCCCGGACCGCGAACGAGTTCTCCATTTTAGAGTCCTCAAAGACTTTCCAGCGCCCGCTGTTGACACTGTAGTGTGCTAAGCCTCTTCTACCTGCGATTGCTACGTATCTCCCATCCTGGGACACTACACTAGAACGAATTGGCCACTGCGAGTGTAGGTAGGTCGGGGGATATTGCGCATGATGCCAGAGGGAGTCCTTGCCCGAGATAGTCATAAGGTCGGGTAAGTCATGCCCTCGGTACAGAATGATCTCGGTTCCAGTTTGTAATAAGCCTCTAGCCAGATTCGCGGATGAAAAGCAGCCTGTCAAAGCGCTCCGTGCCGTCTCCAGAATCCATAGGCGACGATCATTCTGTGCGGTCAAGATGATATCTGAGCCTCCACCTATCCAGCATCCATATGAGACCCCTGTTAGCCAATCCTCGGCATTGGTTTCAGCAAGAGACCTGTCCGTCGAGAAACTATTTCCTCCTGGCTTGCCGAACACGCTCCATGTTGTCCAACCACGTTCGTAGCCTGCAAAGAGACAGTAGCCATCCGGCGAGTAGGACATGAAGCTTAAATTGCCTGTTGTGTGAGGCGATGCCGGGAGTTGCAGTTTATGAGATAGTGGGACATTTCCAAGGTAGTCTTTAGCAGTATACACGAAGATGTCACCGTTGGCGCAGTTCACAGTAAGCAGCGAGAACCGAGCATTGACGGCAACCCTGAGTGCTTTCTCGCCGTCATTCTTCGGACTGTGGAAGCAGTGACCGTTGAAGAGCTTCTTTGGATTCTCCGGATCACGCGAGCCCTCGGGTACGCGTTGAACTGCGTACGCCTGACCTTCATTTGTTACCCAGACCAAGAGGTTGATAGCACGATCATACACCATCTCTGTAATAGATGTCCGCTTAGAGACACCCAATATGCGGCTTAGCAATTCCGAGGTAGTTTGGGCGCCTTGCGCATCAGGTGTCCATCGAATGCATTGAATTGCCGCGGGTTTCACGGTAGCAACCACAAGCTCGTTGTCCAGCGCCAGAGCTTTCACAATTCCAGACTCTATCTTAATAGCCATCCTGAAGCGAATACTAGCATCCCGGACGCCATTCGCATCTTCCTCGCGGGCAAGCTGCTGCCGGCGGGTTTGGGTAGAGTGATCGAAATGTTGCTGATAAACATAACCATGTGGGTCGGTAGCAACTGTATAGGTGAGGAGGTATCCTTTAAGCGTCTGAACAACGATTATCGTCGAGTCGGGGTGCATCAGCAAAGCTACATTCGGACCATAAGTGCTAAGCGACGAAGCGGATCGGGCGACAGCGGCGACAACAGCGGTCGGCTAGGGACCAGTCAACACATGTATACGCCGAAGTAGGTATCACTCAACCGAAACATACTCTTGTTTGCCACACAGCTATTGAAGTAGCCGTCATAGTCGCAAACATATGACCGCTCCGAGAGACGCAGAGGCCGTCAATGGCCTCGTCAGCCCAGGCAACCTCCTCCTTGGACGGTTCCTTGGGCCCATTCTCATTCAGCGACAGTCTCTGTTCTACAGAGCGCTCCAAATCTAATTCTTCATTATCGTCGGACGGCACGAAGGGAATCGCAGGGCCATTGACCGCATAGACCCGAGGTACTCCATTGGGCCAGTACATGGCTCGTCACTGGTGAGAAAGTCGTGAAGAGCGAGCTGACATTGAGTCATCTTCGTCGGGCGTAGAAAAGTTATTTTGTCGGACTCGGGACAGAGTCAATCCCAGAATAACCGACCATAATCATCTAATACTTTTTCCGGCTGCGATGTATAGAAACGCAAGTGTATATCGGATGATGGGGGTGACGGCAGCAACGGCTATCACGTGCACGGGAGCTTGCAGGCAAACGTGCCAAACAGTGTAAGTTACTGCTTTAGTCCCCGCATCCAAAATCCCCCGCGACGGTGATCTTTCTCCAGACAAGCGAAGCCCTTCTACAGCGATACCCCGGCGAATTTTAATATCATGGCATGAGCCCTCCGTTGCGCATCCTGTGATCACTGCCCGTACTAACTTAATTCATCTCTAGGCTCCTACCGAGTCCAAGAAGCGCTTGGCGCTTGCAATCATCGACTTTCTGAGCTCCAGCTTGAAGGATGGAACCCTTACTGCTGATGACGCAGAATCGATCGAAATCGCTCAGTCGTGCATCGCGGATACCTTCAAAGTTGATCCTTCCAACGAGGCTGCTGTGAAGGAGGCTGTCGGCGGTCAGTCTCTTGCTAGCATCTATAGTGTATACGAGAAGCTCCGCAGTAAGGGTGACTCTGCTAGTGCCGGAGCGCAGGCCAGCTCCAGCCAGAAGCCCCAAGCCGGTGCTCCTACTGCCGAGTCTGATAAGCTGAAGTCCGATGGTAACGCTGCCATGGCGCGCAAGGACTACACCTCCGCTATCGAACTCTACACCAAGGCTTTGGCCATTGCCCCCTCCAACCCTATCTACCTCTCCAACCGCGCTGCTGCCTATTCCGCCTCCGGTCAACACGAGAAGGCAGCCGAGGATGCCGAGCTCGCCACTGCTGTCGATCCCAAGTATTCCAAGGCATGGAGCCGTCTGGGTCTTGCTCGCTTTGACCTGGCTGATTTCCACGGCGCTAAGGAAGCCTATGAGAAGGGTATCGAGGCTGAAGGTAATGGCGGCAGTGAGGCCATGAAGAGAGGTTTGGAGACCTCCAAGAAAAAGATCGCCGAATCTACCCGTGGTGCCGAACCTCCTGCTGATGCTGTTGATGATGCCGCTGGAGCTAGCCGTGGTGCTGGTGGCATGCCGGATCTCTCTTCCCTCGCCGGCTTGATGGGTGGTGGCCGCGGTGGCGGTGGCGGCGGCATGCCCGACCTTAGCTCCCTCATGAGTAACCCTATGTTCTCCAGCATGGCCCAGAATCTGATGAGCAACCCGGACATGCTCAACAACCTCATGAGCAACCCTCAGTTGAGGCAGATGGCAGAGAACTTTGGCAGTGGTGGTGGAATGCCAGATATGTCGAGCCTTATGAGTGACCCTAACATTGCTGACATGTAAGTCCTACACTTGTGGAAATGATAGTGTTGTGCTCTGAAGCTAATTAACTTGTGCAGGGCTCGGAATCTAATGGGTGGTGGTGGTGCCGGTGGTGCCGGACGGGGTCAATAAATGCGAAACTGCTCTGATGCTTATTACATTCCTGGTATCTCGTCTACTTTGAGGAATCATTCATATTAAATATTTTTCACCTACACTTAGCTATGTACATCTTGGAAAAATTTGGTCCTTATGTTACGGAATGAAATATAAATATATAGTTCTGCCTACGATTAGGCCGACGCGGTAACAAAAGTTCGATTCCCTTCAAAATGTAAAGTTATTTTACATGAGTGGAGTATTTTAATACTAGTAGGCAAATGGGTCTCTCGAGTAGCGCAGGAAAAAGTGATACGTAATAAGTTCTCATGGTTGTAGGAGTAAAATATATAATGGCAAACAAGCTGGACATATATCCAGATGCAACTGATGAGGAGAGTGGAGCGTTGATCTTGCAGTCAATAGCAGCAAACGCCGAATACGCCAGGCAAACCATTAAACCAACTTATGTATGGAAATGACACTGTTACCGTGGGCTGAGGTATCGCCTTCCATTCGCGTGTGTACCGGAGAAGCCGAAACCCATACCAAGGCAGCAGTCGGGGAAATGGATACAAAGAGAGAAAAGGAAAAAAAAAGAACATCCAGCAAAATTAGCAATGGCTACTATCACACATAACATGAAGCACTGGTTCCACCTGGCTCTATGAGTTTTGGGAAGTTCATATTGTACAGTCGGATGATATCAAAACAATGGAGAAGAGAAATATTGGGGAGGTAATTCATCAAAAATCGCCGATAATCAAGACATGGTTGGTCGGTTATAATATGATCGTCGAATGAGGAAGAATGGATACGCTGAAGGGGATAATCTGTTCGGAGCCGTTTAGATGTAGTCACGAGCAGCCTTCTGCAACTCGATCAATCTCCAACCCCGGGTCTCCGGGTTATTAACATCTTCAGGTATCCTCGTGAGACCAATGGCGTAAGTGACCAGCTGGACCTTATCCTCCATACCAGCGGCAAGCTCGCCGGTCTTCACGTTCTTGTACACATGTACTTCCTGTGAACGGCAGGTCACCACGAACACGGGAATATCGCCAGGGTCCAACATACGGGCGTTCATGACTTCAACACCACGGACATCGAGGATACGACCATCCGACTTGAGACCGGCAGTTGTGTACTGTTTGGCGAGGGCGGCGTAGACGCTGAACTGAGCATCGGAGAGCCAAAGCTTGAGGGTCTCAACATCACCCTTGACGTACGCGTCCAAAACCTCAGGAAGGATATATTCACGCATCTCCCGTAAGAATTCCTCCATCTGGAAGTTGGGATCCATTTCACGGAACTTCTTAATGACTTGAGCAGTTTCATTTTCGGCAAAGAATCCAGCCACGCGGTCGGAAATGCTGCGGGCAGTGCTGATCAATGGGTTCTCAGACTCGTTATAAGTTTCCTTGAAAGCGAAGAGTTTCTGCATCATAGGGTTGGAGTCCTTGAAGTCGCGCCATGACTCCTTCCAGGCAGAGTCCTTATGGAGTGTGACGTTGGTACCGGCACTGGGGGGAAGCGCAAGGTTAGCAACGAAACGACCAAGACAATCGGGGGAGAGCGACTTACTTTGGATCTTCAACCATGGGTTCGACCCGCTTACCAGACTTCATTTCCAACTCTTCACGCTTCTTCCTTAATCTGCGGCGCTCTTCCTTGTCAATATAGCCACCATAACGGGAGCTACTGCCATCGTCGATGGCATCCTTGACGTTCTTGTAAGCCTCAGTCTCTCTCACGGGCCGCGTCGCCTTCTCGATTCCAGAGCCGGTCGCATTAACACCCTTTCGGATACCCTTAACGACGGGAGTATTCCATGTCCAGGAAGCACCTTTGCCAAGGGCTTGACCGGTGGACTTCAAGGCAGCTCCGGTTTTAGTGGCAGCCGCTCCATGGGCGGCTTCGTAGGCGGCACGAGCCTTCTTAATGTTCTCATTCTCTGTGAACTGATGTGCCGAAGATGCAAGAGCCTTGGTGGACTCGTTCCACTCCTTGGAGGCCTTGAATTCTGACTGCAGAGTCTCTCTGAAGACCTGCCAGGGAGTCTTGTCTCCGTGAGGAGGGGGAGGAGGCGCATTCTTCTTTTCCTCCTCAGACTTGCCATCATCCTTTTCCTCCTTAGACTCCTTGGATTCCTTGGATTCCTTGGACTCCTCGGATTCTTTCTCCTTCTTCTGTTCTTGTTGTTGCCAGCGAGAAGTGCTGACATGGAAGGATCGCGTGAGTGGAAGAGCAGCGTACGGGGAAAGGATTTGGGAGACAGGACGGGTTGCGCGTTCGGTATTGGAGGAAAGGGAGATTCTGGCTGTAGGCGATGTCGAGTAAGAGTAAGCCTGGATGGATGACCGTTGAGAAGCAGCTGTTCTCAAACTCGGTACTTGAGACCGCAAGGTGGCCGTCCGCGCTGTGGCCGACATTCTAGTAGCCGAAATCATGCTATGTATGATATGAATAGATGTCAGAAGGATAAAAAAGAGGACTCAAAAAGAGTATGAGATCAGCAACGCCCCGAGGGTGAAGGGGAATTGAAGGAGTCGGATGTGGAGGCGAGGAAGAAGCGATTTCGGCCGCGGAGTCAATGGAGAGGGAGAAAGAAAAAGTTGAGATGCAAATGCCAAGACTCGAAAATTCGGGCCCTTTTCCGCCGCCTTCTGTCCCGAACCACCGTTGCGCCGTTCACGATCTCAACTGCCCGAGGTACTTTGCGACCAGATCGACCTATTTACTTAGGATTGCCCAATTGCCTTCGTTTGCGTGACACACCCGTATTATCGCCCTCCTGATTTCCTTGCGTTGGTCGGTCTCTCCGCCACGCTCTTTCCGACTACTTTCGCCGCATATCCCCGATATTTCTGCCTCCCTAGCAAAAGATGAACACTACGTTTGCGAGTTCTCTGTTGAAGGCATTGCCTTCAGTTGGTCGGCAATGCCAGCTTCGTACCTCTTCGATTCGGCTCATTAGACCGTTCTCCTCCACCCATGGAACGTCCGCGTCGGATGCTAAAGACAAGACCCGGCAAATTGAGAGACAGATTCTGAATGCGAAGCCCGAGGCAGCCACCGATGAGAACTCTGCACTCTCCGCGATCACCAAGATGATGCAGGGAGAGAGGACTCGCACGAATCAGAATGTGAGCCGTGATTACTCCAGAATGGCAGAGAGCCTGGAAGCCGAAATGATTAAGCAACCCTACGCCGACCGTGTCCCTCCGCATCACCTACACGTCTTCTCACATAAGCATAACACCATTTTGACCTTGACACGACCTAATGGTAATCCGCTGTTATCGATGAGCTGCGGCCATCTCGGCTTCCGCAAAGGGCACCGTTCGGGATACGACCCAGCATACCAATTGACGTCCCATGTGTTCGGTCAGATGCAGGAACGGGGCTACCTTCTTGATATCAATCGTTTGGAGATCGTATTTCGCGGGTTTGGACTCGGTCGTGAGGCTTTCACCAAGGTTCTGCTGGGTAACGAAGGTAAGAACATTCGTGGGCTGGTCAGCCGCGTAACGGACTCGACTCGTATAAAGTTTGGTGGTACCAGAAGCAGGAAGGTGCGGAGACTGGGTTAGATCCTTTCATATCTTGGGTTTTGGGGCGACCTTCTCTGGTCGTACATCCGCCAGGGAATGTTGTGGTTGAAAGGGCAATGGCGTTCAATCATTCTCGACTTATCAGTATCTTGAGTGGCGGCAGGGAATGCTACCTGCCATGCGGTATGTCTCCAGCTTTGATAACCGAATCACAGCCCAGCGTTGTATATGGATCTGTTGGAGGGAAAGAGAAGAGAGGCTCTTTTGAAATGGTTTGTTCTGTCACTTATATCTGTATATTAGCCAATTTGGTACCGGGAATACACGGGATATTTTTCAATCATGCGAGATCTTCATAATCCTCTCATGTATCGTAGCAATTAACGACTTGTTTACCTGCTTTCTGTCGTTCTATGCGATTGGCATCAGATTGTTGTCTAGATTCCAATCCGTCAACAAGTTAGTATTGCCTAATGCGGTATAGCGCGCTGAGCTCTTGCGGCCTCCGCGAAAGCTGTGGTAACTGAAACGCTGCTCTCCTTGTCCTGGACCATTGATTTTCCCGAGATTTACATAATTTGCGTCATCTTTCGTTTATCATCTCTTTTGCTTCTAGTAGCTTTGACTGCGCCATTTCCCAGCACGTTGAGTTTCTGTTATATCTCGCCCGCAAGCACATGCGCCGGAGCTGCTCCTCCCCTGTGGCGATCGAGCAGCGCAAATCCCCTCTTGAATTGAAACACAACGACTTGATGAAGTCTGGAGCTCTCTCACTGGGACGTCGTCCAAGACCGTTTGGATGCACCCTCTAAATCCTTTCCTGCGTGCCTTCTTCCGAAGCACTGTTCCGGGGCAGTGTATACCGACAGAGAACCATGTACGTCCAGCGGAACTATGCGGGGCTATACTTGAGTGGCGGGCTTTAACATCATTCTTTAGGTTCTCCTCGTTCCTGTGACCGATTCACTAATCGGCTCCCGCGATCGTGAGTCGTCTCTCTACTATTCCGATCTCGTCGTCTCCGAAGAATTTCTAGGCAGCCATGCGCTCCGAATTCCCGTCACAAATGGAACCGCCGGAACAAAGGATGACCTGAATGTCCGCGACAGTAGGGGGAAGGCAAAGCAGGTGACCACCGTCAATGGCCGCACTGTAATCATAAAAGAGAACTCCGTTTATAGCAATAAAGGTGGGAAAGGGAGACCGTTCCTTCATTCTTCTCGTGTGCTAAACCGAGTTTCTAGGGTTCAAGTCCTTGACCCAAGCCCAGCTGCTGTCTGACGCCCTCTATTACACACCAAGCAACGGGTCCCAACCATGGCTTATCTACTACATCTCCCGACCATTAATCGGTTCGTTCGAACCCGGCAAGATCATTTCTGCTGTGGTGCCAGGGACACTGCCAAAGAGGAATATTTTAGGCAGCAGTGCCAAGTCTGGGGAGTCAGTCTCCTCGCCCGCAAAGAAGGAGATCAAGACGTTTGCAGAACTCCTGTCCCATTTTCCAATGATCGCAAGGCAGATGCAGCCTGGGTTAGAGAGATTATTCCGGGAATTCGGGAAAGAATTAGGCAAACCATTACCTCCCCCTCCATCACGCTCTCCTGTACTGTCCGAAGAATTTGACTGGAAACGTGACCGCGATGAAGCACCTATCGAGGAGACTGCCTCCGTGCGCAGTTCATCGTCCCGATTTAAAGATGGGCTTCCATTCAACTCGGAAGAGTATTTTGAAGATGATGAGGACCTCATGCGTCGCAGCCTGGAGACGGCGGTTACCGCAGCCATTGACCTCTTTCGATTGGTGGACAAACAACAATTGTCTTTTCTCGGTGCCACGACTGATCTGACTGGACCTCTTGTCGAGAGATTGATCGAACGCTACGTTGCTGAGCAGGTGCACGAATCTCTTCTCTTCCCCCGCCTTTGTAGTTTCCGCCAGCCCGAAGATACGGAGTTGGATACAAGGATCCGCCAGATGGAGAGCATAGACGTTTCACAGGTGGGCATAGTCGTTGAGGGTGGCCAAGAAGGCAAGCGGGAGTTACTGCAGCGTCTTGGTAAAGCAGTGGAGGAGTTCCGCAAAATGCTGGATGCCAAATGTCCCCATGATATGCTGAACATCTTGCTGGAAACGGTAAAGATCCTGTCGTATCCTGGCAATTATGATAAAGCCGACCCACAAGCATCTGAGAAGCAAAATGCACCTGTAACAGTGAACGCTGATGTTTTGGTTTCATTGTTGCTTGTCGTGGTCATTAGATCTCAAACCAAGCATTTACAAGCACGACTATTGTATATGCAGCACTTCATTTATGTTGACGATGTTGACAGTGGAGAAATGGGCTACGCTCTGAGTACTTTTGAAGCAGTCCTTACATACCTTGTGACTGATTCTGCAGGCCTTCGAAGGTCGAGCATCCGGAACAAGCGCTTATGGAATGCAACTAAAACTGGACGCATTGCTGATATGAGAGCTATCCTGGAACCAGACGGTAGTCAACAATCGATAGATGATATTCCTTGTGAACCTGAAGGGAGTCGAGTTCTATTTAGGACCGACGAGGACAATGAACAAGATCGACTTCCGTTGTCCCTGCCCATCCTTGGTGGGCGCAACGAAAGCAATGGTGAACTAGCGACTCATGATACCCCATCGGATACACCACCTTTAGCACACGTATTTCCTTTTCAGGCATGGGCAAGCAGCTCTCCACCGCAAGAAATTCGGCGCCCTATCAAGAAGGTTTCCATGGATGTCCGCAGTCTATCCGAGTCTTCAGCCATTTCATTCGCTTCCCGTACAACGACAATGGGGTCCATGACGAGTACGATCGAAGGAGACAGCTCAATTGAGACGTTAACAAAGACCCAGGATCCCGCCGGCCATTCGATTCCCATGATGGCAGTTGAGAATCGCCAACCAGAAGCCCTGAAGTACCTACTCACTCTGGAGGAGTACTATCCCCTAGAAGACATTCTTGATGATACGAATACAGATGGAACGACATTACTGAATGCAGCTGTCCAACTCGCGCACACCGAGATGGTAGACATCATACTCGAGTACCTCTCCAGCACAACAGACGAGCAAACGATCGTCTCCTACTTGAGGAAGTCAGATATTCATGGACGCACTGTCGCTCATTATCTCTTCAGCACCCCTTCAGTGATGCATAAGCTGGAAACATTGCTTCCCTGGCGTCAACGTGATAAGCATGGGCAGACGCCGCTTTTTGCTCTATGTAGATCCTACGATCACCCTGACTACAGTTCGATGGTTAAGGAGGCGTTGACGGCTGCTCAGAAATCTCAAGGCGATGGCCGGCCACTGCGTCTAGACGATCATATTGACGCGAAAGGGAATACCTTGCTCCATATCGTTAGTGACCCTGATATTACCATTAAGATCCTGCAAGAATGCGATTGTGATCCAAATGCGACGAATGACAAGAGGTTCACGCCGTTGATGATGGCCAGCAAATATGGCCGCATCGACCAAGTTCGGATTCTTTTCATGGACCCTAGGGTGGATGTGCATCTTAAAGAGGCTCGCGGACTTACGGCTGTTGAACTTGCAAAGGATGATGAAGTGCGAAATCGCATTGATGATCTGATTCTCGTCTCCAATCCGCCTTCAGCAACGGACGATCCCTCCGGCCGGGTCACCACTGTCGTTCGGTCATTCTTCGTGGAAGATGCAACCGTACGCTTTGTCCTCAAGTCGGGGGCCCCCAATCCTCCGCCGAACTCCGCCGAATCCAGCCTGGCGCCTACCACCAGCTACACGGTGACAACGTGTAAGCGCACATACACAGACTTCGAGAATCTCGCAAAATGGCTTTCCATTGAGCACCCCGCTTCATACATGCCCTTGCTCTCCGATTTCCGCTCTCCCTTCCAGATCCACTCGAAGCCATCTCGCTCGGTTCTTCACGACATGCAGGCGAAGCTAGATAGATTTCTCAAGATTTTACTCTCTCACCCAACCTTCTCAACCCATGAAATGCTCTGGGAATTCTTTCTCGTGCCCGAACTCCAGCCGGAGATGATGGCCGATCGGTCTCGTCGCAAAGCGCAAGTTCTCTACGAGTCAATCGCCGACGACTACGAGCCCGTCACCCAGGAGGGTATGCGCGAGACGGAGCAATTCGTCACACATGCACAAGACATGGTTCGCGCTGTCCATGCCAATACGCGCAGTCTGATCCGTCGTGGCTATGCTCTACAGAATTCTGCCTCCGACATAGCGGATGCATTGGGTCTATGTTCCTCCGCCATCTCAACCCTTAAGGAACCTACCAACGCTCTTCCCCAGTCCCATGTCGACGCATTTTGCCGCTACGCCGCTCACCTTTCAACCTCCTCATCCGACTCCTCTCCCCTCCTCCAGTTCCTGAACAACGTCACCTCCATCGACAACACCACATCCGCCATTCTAGACTCGCTCTCCCGTCCCATCAACGTAATATCCACCCTCACATCTACCTCCCGCTCCCTCTCCCGCTCCCGCTCCTCCCTAGTGTCCTCGTCGCTCCCTAGAAAATTCAACCTCAACTTCCCCGGCCTTGAAGAATCTCGCCAAAAGTCTGTCCGCGACCTAGAAAACAAGATCCAGGAATCCGAAACTCAGATCGCCCGCCTCTCCCGCGAGATCACCTGGAACAAAGATGTGGTCGTCAGCGAACTCGCTGGCTGGACAACCTGGAGAGAGAAAGTCGGTCGGGACGCGATCCGCGCTTTCGCAAAGGCTACTCTTGTCCGTGAGAAGGAGCGAGGAAAGAGACTTGAGCGGTGTTTGAGGAGTGTGCGTCAGTCGGATGATCGTGCAGCATAATTAATAGACTTGACTTTTTTTCCTTCTTGCCTTGTTGTAGAATTAGGGGTATGTTTATCATTGTGCATTCTTTGCGAGGTGTTGTCTATCTGCTCTTCTAATCTTTCTCTTGTACTGAGGATGGGTGTATTTTGTTTAATGATGATATGAGGAAGTGTATAAGATATCTTCTATTTGCAGGTTATGTTTATATAACCAAGCGTTAAAATGTCCAATCAAATCAGGGCGGCTTCTGTTGATCGCTCTGAGCTTTTCTGACCAGGCTGAGTTGACACCTCTTGTGTCGTATATCACAACATCAACCACAACCACGGTGAAGATGGGCTGTAGTGACACAATGAGAGCTTCTCCAGACAGAAAAAGTAACAAAGACTTCTATGTCGCTTCAAAGGTCGAGGTGAGGACAGGTAGCTACCTCTATGTCCTCGTGCGCCGCTGACGCGTAGAGTTCGATAAATCTACTAATCACGTACAACACACGACCTCGACAATTATATCGCAAGCCCTCACGCTCCACGAAAACGACTTTGCTAACCAACCTGCTTCTGAATATAAAGCACTGGGGGTCGACGAGATTGATTGGTAGGCACTTCTACCTGAATTGAGCTGGGACCTTCAGTGAGACTATCACCAAACATACTCGACGATGATAGCATATTAGCATCTTGGACGATGATAACTATTGCAAGGTGAAGTTCACTCGGCAATCTTCTCATGCCTCGGCTGACCAAGCTTCCTATAGCCTTGCTGGGAGTCCTAACGCAGACTCGCCCTCATTAAGGGCAATTTGGAAACAGGCTTGGGAGCTTACATGTCCGTGCCGTGTTCTCTGCAAAGACATCGGCATGAAATCGGTTTGCGACTTCAAGTTTACCATCCCGCCCTACGCTCCCGTGCTGTCGACAGCTTATGAAAAGATGAGCCGAAATAACTATCTCTTGACCGTTGTTCTCCTTTGTCAAGTCCATACGCAACCCGGTCATATATTTCGCTGGGATGTTCAGGAAATGGTCTATAGACAGTATACCTTCAGAAAACCTTGCGGGTCTCTCGGGTTGACTTCGCAAATAACTGCGACATCTACTTAGACGAAATCATGGTTGCAGTGTACTTCGTGCATGAGTTGAGCCAAGGTGTTAACTGATATACCTTCTTAGTAGTGCAGGGTGCAGAACAGGTTATTCTTAAATTGCTTGGACTGACTGATCCCGAGTTTCTTGGAGAATATGCCTTAAAACAGGAGAAACACAGGTCCTGTCCTAAGCTTCCCGCGATGGATACCGTGCCGGTACCTACTGTCAAAATTGCTTCTGTGACGTTATAGTTTCATGAACTGGATGACGGAGGCTTTGGTATTGCGCCTAGATGTTTTTCTCAATACTGGTAGAAAGCACAAGTTAAATACCTGCGGACTTGGAAATGGCATCTCCCTACTATACATTCCAATAGTGATTACAATACTACCGTATTCGAGTTGACTATTCATATGTTAATTATATTGTGGGAGCTAAGATACCTTACCATTATGCTTGGGATGTGATATGTTCAGATTTAGATCCAGTTAACGAGGTTCATGCGCTGATAATGGGGTCGAATAGATGGCGAGTGTAAGCAGGAAGTATGTCTCTCTCTTTACAAGATGGATGTTGATGTATGCCTGAGATTATGATGATAGAAGGTAAGCAAGGGGTTATGCTTAGAGAAACTGAGGATTTTTAGAATACTATGATAAGAACACTAATATACGTATAGAAGGTTAGCCTTCACGTCTAAGTATTCAATAGGATAAAGTCTGGAAGAACATTATTCTGGTTATTGTTCGCTCGGTGTTGTTTTGCGTACCGTGATAGGACAGTAGTTGGAAGTACGGTAGTGAGACAAGCCTAAGATTGGAACGCCTACAGTACAGGTTCACACGATACTATATCTCGGAATAGTGATTCTATTCCAAGTGTTGGGGGTGTCTATACCACTATAAATCACAAGAATGACTGTAGAATTGAAGCCCCATCAGGGGAGCATCTATTGGTCCTAGAGGCCTAACAAACTTGGAAAGAGCAAAAAAGCAAGGGACGAGACCAGCCCACCAGGCCACATACAAACCAACAATCCACGAATAAAAGTATAACCAAAAGAGTGATAGGTATACAATAAGTGATGGGGGCTGATGTACAATCCTCGTAGCCAGTCTCTATCGATAAAGGTTGCGCGGGGGTGGTATTATTACATTTGATAACCCAGCACCAAGGTGCAATCGTGTAGTGTCACTTTGACCAGAAGAAACAACGTTCATATCTCAAAGACTGAACAAAGGAGATATAGATTTCTTGATAGAAGGCAACCGAAGCAACGAGTTGCGGTTGGAAGTTCTACCCGCTGGTTCGGGATCTTGCAGCGAAGCAGGGGACACGGGTGGCTGCTCAGAATCAGGTGTGCTGGAACTGGTAGACTGCATAACAGGAGTGGCTTTCTGCGAGGAGACATGTCTCAGTGGAGATGGCACCACGACAATCGGTCTCGGAATTGAACCAGCACGCCCTTTTCCCGAAGGCGTACGCGAATCAGCCCGACCTCCTAGAGTCCGCTTATTCTCACAGGGAGGGCTCCTTTGTTCCGGAGAAGCACCGATAGAATCGAACGTCTGGCTCGAAACATTATTGCCTTCGCGATACACGCGGGTCACAGATCCCCCTGTTTGCTCGACGACGTAACCCCCCGACGGTGAGTTATCACGACTATACATCATCGATTCACGACTAGACTTGCTTTTGGTTATACAGCAGGCATTGGAGTTTCTGTTACTTTTATTCACGTCGGTTCGATGTTTGAAAGCGTCATAGTCTTTCCTTTCGCGCTTGTGGCGCTTCCAGCTTCTCCGGATCTTCCGGACAGTGAGGACGCTAAGGAATATGATGGCTAGTACGGTGATGGCACTGAGGACGCATGCTACCGCCAGGGAGTTTTTTTGGTAACTCCAGTGCGGAACTAGGTTGTTATGGGTTGTCGTTGGCCTTGGAGAGTCTTCCGCTGAACGTTTGAGGAGTTCGTCGATTCTTGTGGAAGGCGTCTTGATGGTTTTTGTTGGTTTATCAATGGTAGTTAGGGTTGGTATGCGTTTCAATACTTTATAGTTGTCGGGTAACTGATACTGGAATTCGTGTCTCGCTTCCCTTGATTGCTCATCTGCAACGATGTTTTCCCGCACAATAGGCGTAGTTTCTGATTCTTCTAACCAGCCCGATCGAAATTCCATTCGTGTATATGGCATGATAGCCGATTCGCTATAGCAGTCTAAGAGGAAGGCAAAGAGTCGAAAGAGCAAAAGTCCAAGACTACCGCTGGTATTCCCACCAGATGCGAGTTGATGACACCGCTTCAAGTTGCGTCTAACGCACGACTCCGACACGGCAATAAGGATGAAGGGTTCACATCTCAGTAAAGATCGATAAGAAGCTGGAGTGGTAACATTGGGCGATGGGGTACAGCTTGAGAAGCACAAAAGAGTGGATGGATTCAAAGCAGCACAGTGGCAGAATGAGCATCGAAGACATAATCAAAGCTCAAGGATGCTCAAGGCAGGGGTGTGATGCTCGCCTTCAGGGCAAGAACGCCCCGTAACTGCACTTCAGTGTACCTTCCCTTCATCATCCTGGGATAGCATTGTGATAGCGACGGGACTTTGTCAGAGTCATAGGGTGTGTTTAGATCTGTCGATCAAGGGTGAAGCTGACCGATAGAAGAACTAGAAAGTAGCTTTAAACAAGGCTAATATCGCGTGTAGGTCACTTTGTGCCATGATCTTTGATTAGTCGGCTCCAGCCTAAGTCAAAGGACCTCCGTAGATAAAGCCATTGTAGGAATCGTGAGGTGAATTGAAGGAGACCTTATCCTCTTATCACACACCCTTATACTCAATAGACAATATGTATCTCGAACGACACACTGGATACGAACACAAGAGCCAGTATAAGCACACGGATGAAACAACAAAGCATATACACTGGAAGGTAAACATCTAACGTATAGAAATACATACAAACAAATCATACAGAACATACACCAAGAGAACTCAAATCTCAACCCAAGTCAATATGCGAACCAAGATACAAATATACGGTAAGTACAATACACCACCTGACCCCATAATACCGGCCCGGCAGATCTAATCCACCCGAGAAATGCACTAATCCCAAACAAGAAAGCCCTTGCTAAGCCTTCCCAATGACATCATTGCCAGTTGACCCGTGATGAGGTATAAAGATTATAAAGCCTAATCTTCCCCTCCAGACAACCTTAATCAACTTTTCTACCCTAATCCATCCTTCTATGCGTTTTGCTCCTCGAGTATCATTGAAACTACGAACACGACCAAATCAACACACACGATCTCTATTCCATACCAGAAAATTCCATTCCACCATGCCTCTAGTCGTTCCCCAGGTCAACTCTGGCGATAAGAACGAATGGCTCAATAAGCTGGCCGGGAAGACGATCACGGAGGGAACGAGTGATGTTACTGTTTGTTTTCCTTCCTTTTTCATTTTAAAAATATGATTTGTGAGTATTAGACTAATTTCGGGTGTCGGTAGTCATTTGCGAAGAAGGATTTGCCCGAGTCTCATCGGATTCTTAAACCTGGCGATATGAAGACGATGGATTATAAACCTGAACGGTATGTTCTTGTATCTAGGTTGTTATTTTCTGTAGTAAGAGTATGGACTGATGTGGCTTATAGGTTGAACGTACACTTGGATGACAAGGGAACTGTTCATGATGTTAACTTCGGTTAAGGCTATGATTGTCTACGATAATGTATAAGTATGACTGTGGATGATGAATGTTAGACGAATACGGTGCATGGATAGATTCATCTGTGATGGGCCACGACTATGTTTGATGGATATTGATATGGAGATGGTACAAGCATAATGAATTCATCTAGTCTATTTCTATTATGATGGGAACACAGCTAGTGTCTACCAGAGACACTTAAGCCTTCCATCTCAGAAGGGTAAGAGAGTGCTTAGGGAATGCGTAGGGGCCCTGTCCGTCCCAGGTGCTCTCAACCACGGCAACTTCTTCCTTGCCCTTCATGTTGGTTGCTGCGACACTGTCACCTGTGACAGTGAACACAGTAACTTCTCCCGAGGCACCGTCGATCTTTGTTTCAATGGCCTTCTCCTCATGAATGTTGACAACGGCAACGTTGACGTAGCCATCCTCACCCAGGACAGCACTGACGTCCAGCCAGGGGGTCTCCTTGACACCACGAATCCACTTGGGAGAGGTTTCGCCCTCGTAGGTTGCGCTGGCGAGATGCGCGCTGATTGTCCAGCCCCGCATGTACTTAGAGAACAGGTACAGAGGCCACCAGGTGGTCTGCTTGGTGATGCCCTCCTTGGTCGTCATGAGCGGGGAGATAACATTGACGGTCTGCGCAATGCATGCCATGCCCAAGTCCTTGCTCTTACGGACGAAGACATTGAGCCAGACAGCCACGGCCAGCGCGTCAGAAAGCGTGTAGCATTCCTCTGCACCCTTGCTGCCTTCGGCACGGATGGGGTCCCAAACGTTCCACTCATCAAAGCAGATGGTTGGGCGGGTTTGCTCTGGAGGAACACCGTTCTCGATCCTCGCGAGATCGATCAGGGAGGATGTGATCTCAATAGCACGCTCAGCAGCTAGAGGGGCGGTGGCATTGGGCAGATGAGATGATGAGCAGGTGTACAGATGAATGCTGTGCATGTCAATGAGGGGGACAGCACTAGTAGAGAGGGGTGAATTGACGGGCAGCAAACAATGCTTCAGGGTATAGTAATCCCATGATGCTGTACCGTCCTGTCCACAGAGGATCAGAACTAAGCTGGGATCAAGAAGCTTAAGAGCTATGGGATTTGATTAGCACTTTTGGTCATAGCGGCAGGTGGAAATTGAAATTTACCCTTCGCCCATTGATAGGCCTTGTGAGAGTATGCCTCCTTGGTCATCTGCTCTACTTGCCACGGTCCCCAGGTCTCGTTTCCGAGAGCCCAGTATTTAACCTGTACGTGTGATGTCAGCCAAGTGATATGCTTAGTATGAAAAAGGTGCATACGTTGTAAGGTTCTTGGCGACCGTTCTTCCGGCGGAGGTTCGCATAGTAAGTGTTTCCGGTACCATTGCAATACTCAACCCATGCCAGTGCTAGAAAAAGCTGGTTAGTTTTACATGGCTTTAATAATTGGGGTTTAGATGGAAGCCTACCCTCATCAAGAGTACCCGTTCCGAAGTTCAGGCAGAAGTATGGCTCAGTTCCAAGAACTTCACACCACTTGAGAAACTCGTCAGTTCCGAACTGGTTCGTCTCTGTACCCAGCCAAGCCAGCTCAGGCCTTTTCATAATCAGCATTTGCGTTCCAAACTTTCCAGTGGCCAAGAAACCCTTCGGAAAAAGGTAGATGTTGCTAGAGGACACCACAGGAGGAGGGCTAACACAAGGTTCATCATCATAAAACATACCGTGCAGGACGTTGGTCTTTCGGACCAACACCGTCGATCCAGTGATACGTCGCCATAAAGTTGCCGCCGGGGTAGCGAACAACGGGAATGTCGAGGGTCTTCAGAGCTTCAAGGACATCTTTCCTGAAGCCGTTCTCATCTGACAAGGGATTGCCCGGGTCGTAGATGCCGCCATAGATGCATCGGCCCATGTGCCTGCGATCACGCATGAGCTTAATTCCTTCAACAATCTAGTACTAAAGAGGAAAAATGAATTATTCCAAGCTTACTCTGTGAACCCCGCATAGATGTTGGGATTGATCTTGGAAATGCGCCGGGATGGGTGGATGGCGATACTCGGCGTATCCTGATCGCTAAGTTTCGTAAAGGTAGTCATTATTGCGGCCGTTAAAAGATCATAAATTGAACAGTAAAGTGGTAAATTGAGTTGCCAGACTTATTGATTGGTAGGAAAAAGAGGGAAGATGGTGCTAGACTAAGTACTCTTCCAAGATCCGTGGCGGAAGCAGCTGGACAGCGCCAACTAATTAATGTGGACTGAACACGCATTGTAGCTATCATAATAGAAGGGGAAAATCTCCTGCGGGGTTGTTCCAGACCACGAAGAAAATTGGCATGAATCATGGGTAGAAAGTGTAGGCGATGCTTGGGAACGGCGCCGTCGTCTTGGTTTTGAAGCCGAGGCAACGCCACGAGATCTTCCATCAATCAGGGCTCGCGCTTGCACGAGTATCTCGCGATCCCGAAAGCCACACCACGACGGCCCCCCGCAAACGGTCAAGCGCCAATTGAATCCTTTCTCATGGAGTTGGGATTATGATTCGCTGTGAAGTTCTTGCTGCTATATGGTATGTTCCTTCATTGGTGTGGAATCCGGGAATTATCGACACGCTATGGCGTCTTTACCGTGCTTTTGGGAAAGAGCTCCGGAATCCCACCACGAGACACTATGGACTGCGATCCCATAGCTTGTTGTCATGGGCTCCGGAGTCTTAGTGTTGGATGTGGGCATCCGATCCCCAGAAGTTCTTAAAGAGCTGCGGAACCCCATACCCCAGGGAAATCCCCGCATCTGGTCCACCGGTCTCCCTATTGAGTTTGCTCTCAGGGCATAGTGGGCAGTTAGATTGTTTGAGATTTCATATCGAGATCACCATGCGTCTCTCTCCGGCATGGTACCAAGTGAGTATCGAAGTTAACGAAGGGATAGCTTCTCTATTTGCTGATCGGTTACACAGTTTCTGGTGGGCGTTTTCGCCTCGCTGGGTTCGTTCCTTTATGGATGTGAGTGACAGAGAACCAATGTGCTATTAAGGACTTACTGACTGTTATGACTCTAGACGATTTGGGTGTGATTGCGGAGGTTATTGCCAGCCATTCGTTCGAATCCAAGTTCGCAGCAAATGACACCGAGACGTAAGTCTCACGCAAGACGCGGCAGAGATAATATTGTATTAAATAAGCTCACTGACTGTCTACTAGCGGATTGGTCGTGTCTATGTTCACGGCAGGTGCCTTCTTCGGCTCAGCATTTGCGGGCCCCAGCGGTGATATTATCGGCAGAAGAAAGACCATTTCCCTCGGGTGTGTGATCTTTTGTCTTGGTGGAGGGCTCCAAACTGGAGCACGGACAGTTGCATACTTATACAGTGGAAGATTTCTGGCCGGACTTGGGTAAGCCTCAAAGATACCAAAATGAGGACAAAGACTAATCTCTGCCTAGTGTCGGATTCCTTACCATGATCATCCCGCTATACCAGGCTGAGATCTGCCACCCCGACATTCGAGGTCGAGTGACATCGCTGCAGCAATTCATGCTGGGTGTTGGCTCTCTGTGCGCTGCATGGATCTCATACGGCACGTATATTGGATTTGACCCAACAAACAATGCTCAGTGGCAGGTCCCACTTGGTCTACAAGTGGTTCCCGCCGTATTTTTGGGTCTCTTGATCATGTTCTTCCCAGAGGTGAGTACATCCGGATATTTTCACGGTTATTGTAGCTAATCCTAGAATAGTCGCCGCGTTGGCTCATCGACCATGGCCAACATGAAAAGGGCCTGCAGACGCTTGCGAAGCTTCACGCGCATGGGGATGAGAATGACGCGTGGGTCCGGGCTGAATACAACCAGATCCAGGAGAGTATTACATTTGAGCATGAGAACGAAGCCAAGTCATACTTGGAGTTGTTTAGCTCGCGGTCATCGTTCCGCCGTCTGTTCCTTTGCTGTGCGTTGCAGGCATCAGTGCAGATGACGGGAGTGTCGGCCATCCAGTAAGTGCCAATGGAAGGCCGCTTAACCGGGACATTTCGAAAAATTGAAAGAAACGCCCGGTGTCTTTTTCGATATAAGCTAATAACCTTCACTTTTGCCAGGTACTATTCCGTGACAATCTATGAGCAAATCGGAATCAAGGGAGACGAAACCTTGCGTTACCAGGCAATCAATTCCGTTATTGCCTTGGTAGCTCAGTTCCTTTGTATGATGCTCATTGACCGCTTCGGTAGACGGCGAAGTTTGATCTTTGGAAATTTGGGTAACTGTGTGACTTTCATCATCGCATGCATCCTGCTCGCAAAATTCCCTCCCGAGGTCAACAACACAGGGGCTCACTGGGGCTTCATCATCATGACCTGGTTGTATAACTTCTCTTTCTCTTGCACCTGTGGTCCTCTGTCATGGATCATTCCGGCAGAAGTTTTCGATACGCGAACTCGATCGAAGGGTGTTTCCATCGCTACTATGACATCTTATGCGTTCAACACCATGATTGGCCAAGTGACACCAATTGCGATGGAGAATGTCCGCTACCGGTATTACTTCCTCTTCATCATCTGCAACTTCACCAACGCGATCTTCTTCTGGTTGCTGCTGCCTGAGACGAAGAAGTTACCGCTTGAAGAGATGAACTACTTGTTCTCCAACTCCCCATGGATTGTGTTAGGAACAAAGAAGGAGGATTACCTTCCTCATGACCTTGAGCACAAAGTTCAGGAGCAAGAGGTGAAGCAAGAGGTTTATGCACAACACAAGGAGTGAACCTGTGATGGATGAAGAGAATACAAGGTGTTGATAGCGAAAGACAAAGCTGGACGAAGGATGATTCCCCATAAGAAGGGTAGAGTACAAGCGTTGGGCTGTTGCGTTGATATTTTCAAAATATAATCTCTCATACATGTTGTATACAGTTTGGGATAAGATAATGATGTTGGTTTTCGAAGTTCTCTGGCTCCCATGTATTGTAAATGAATCGAGAATCATCAAATATTCTGCGAGTTAGTCCTCTGGATGCTTTTGAAACAACTGAAACACTATGCCTTCTGATTGTCAATGTCCCACACTCTTTCATCATTTCATCATAGCCTTGGTTGTAGAGTGCCCGTGATAACTGGCAAGACATGTTCAAAGTTCAATGACCCAGTCGATACCGCAACGTGAATCACGTACTGTAAGCATTTAACAGAGGCAGGGCCAAACAATGAATGAGTGCGATACGCGGCCCCTGCGCAATCGAAATTACAATTACTCAGAGTCGGAACTGTAGCCGGCCAAGCCAAGAGATATCGAAGCTGGCTTGGCCACTTGCTTCTTCTCAGTCTCCTTCACATCATCGGTCTGTACGGGGCTAGCGGAAGTCGCTGTGTTCACAGGTGGCTGTGACTTAACTTTAGCAGCATCAGCTGCAGCCGGAACAGACTGCTTCTCATCTTTTCCGGAATCTCGGTCCTTTTGATCCGCCTTCTGCTCAGTCGACACAGTCTCCTCCGCACCTTCAGCGGTAGACTTGCGCTTCTTCCCAGGAAGCAAAAGATCCTTCTTATCCCTCCTCCTCTTACGCGCAGGGATCTTCCAATCCTCCCCCTCAGCGGTGGGAGTAACATCCGCAGTGCCCTCCTCAAGCGCAACCTTCTCCGCCTCCTCCCGGTGTCTCCGGAAAGCTTCAAGCTGCTCAGCAGTCTCCTTCTTCACCGCGGCCTCCTGCGCGCGCGTCGACTCCATAATCGAGTCCAGGAACTCGACCTCATCCTCGTCAAGCGAACGGAACTGATTCTTCAATTTAATCTTCTCCTCAAAGGCTTCCTGTTTGGCCACTTTTTCATCGCAGAGGAACAATCGCCCCTAACATGTCAATCCAAACGAATATCCCTGATCCGCGCAAGCTGGGCCCGCTCAGGATACCGGAGACTCACTTTTGTTCTGCTGTAGCACTTCGTAGAGACTTTTGCCGTCGGCTTGCTTGCCTAGTTCTGCCTTGCGCCGCCGTTCTTCCTCCAGTTCTTGTTGGACGCGGAGCCATTCATCGTCGCGTTCTACCGGCTCTTGGTCTGTTCCGGCTGATACGAATCCGGAGGACATTTTTGGCGATGAGGGGAGGTGTGCGATTGGCTTTCCGTGAGATATGAGGGTGCGCCTTTGTGGTTTTATGGATACCAGTGACGTTCCTAAAGCTCTGTGAGACCGACTAATCAAGTCAATTTGCTGGAGGAAAGCAATGATGAAAAATAATCGCAAAATAGGACAGCATCATGATGTTCTGGATGCGGTACCGGATCTTGACCGGCAGAAATAGGCGGTAAGTACGGTCACTTCTTCGAATTTTCTTCTGGCCTGAGGCATCTACAATATTGCCTGGGGGCAATTTCTATGATTCAAAAGTAAACATGAAACATGCTCGGGAATTTGAGGGTTGGGATGGAAGTTTCATTGCTAAATTAAAATGTACCTGCCATAAGCCATCGCTGACCTAGATCCGAATATGAACGCCGATTCCCAGAATGCATCGTCATCCACGAATGAATCCTCTTGATTAATATTAATCTTTCGCCAGATGGAAGCTCGACTAATGCATATGTATAGATAAAGTCGCACATCGCCACTCAAGCTTATTTAGTTTCAGACTTTGTTTCCTCAGCAAGCTTTTCCGCTTTCTTCAGTTTCTCGGACAAAACTCCTTGGAGGTCGTCAACAGTTTCCTTGAGAAGCTTCTCGGCCTCCGGGCCCTTCTTCTCTGCAGCATTCTGAAGGGACTGCAGCTGGGAAAGGATTTGTGAACCTCCAGGAACCATGTTTGATAGTTTATCTAGATTACCAAATCCACTCTCCTTGGCTTGACCGGCGAGATCCTTGACATACTTTTCCAAGTCTTCAGTATTTCCGGAGGACGAACTCTCCTTGATCATGTCCCAGATCTTCGCATAGTTACCCTTCTTCAAGGCATCTGTATTCTTCTCGACGAACTCCTTGATCTTCGGACTCTTCTCAAGGTAAGGCCGGGCCTCATCCAAACCACGCTTCCAGGCCTCGTCACCGAGCTTCCGAAGCTTCTCCTCCTTCTCCTTAGTCACCTTCTGGATCTTCTCGACGGTATCAAAACTGATACCAGCAGAGACAATATCCTTAACTTGCTTCCAAGTCTTGTCAACCTCCTCCTGAGCCTGAGGACCATAGGCACTACCCATCTCCTTCAGCCGATCAAAGCTGCCCCCAAACTTCTCTTTGAGCTCGGGGTGATTATTCAAAATATCCTCCGCAGAATCCCCAGCCAGATCATACAGCCGCTTAAAGTGCTTCTCCAGCACATCCCGTACCTTGACCGCGGTATCCACATCAAGTTTACCTTTCTTTGAGATATCGCGCAAGTCATTGTACGCATCGCGGACAATCTCATCGAACTCCTTTCCCTGGTTACGTCTGATGGTCTCTAGGTCATCAAACGCCGTATCAACGTAGCTCTTCGCACCGGGAATAAACGACGCATAACTCTTGGCCGTGTCTCTCAACCACCCGAACGCTTCATCCGGCTCGGGAGTCTTCTGGGCGACCTTCTTCTTGGCCTCCTTGAAATACGCTTCTGTTTGGTTTGCAGTCTGAACGATCGTCTTCGCCCCGGAGAATTGGTACCAGAGGTATCCTGCAAAGAAGGTCACGGCGCCACCGGCGATACCGCCGACTACAGCGGGGGAAGCGCCTGATGAGCCTGACTCTGTGGAGGTGGAATAGCGACAGCGTGCATTGCGAAGGGGGGTTCTTGTTTGGCGGTAGAGTTGCTGTCTTGTGCAGCTTGTAGCGAATCTGGAGCTTCGGCTTAACATCTTGGTAAGTTATGATAATAAGGAAGTAGTAGGTGAAAGGGAGTAATTGGAAGAAGGTAAACACAGACTCTATAATGCAATTGACAGTATAATACAGATTTTAATCACCCCCGGAGCAAACGTGAGTATTTATAAGTAAACAAAAAAAAAAGAATTCGTTTGCGTATACAAGTCCAGTCCATTGCGTCATGGTGACGGGCAAGCTGGTCCCTGGTTCTTCAGTGGATGAAGCCAAGCCCAAGGTAAATGTTGGTCCCACTGGATTAGAACCTTTTCGGGTCCGAGTGATGAACTCCCGAAGGAAAATATCGTGAGAGGAATATTTGGTGCGGTTCTAGCCCGGGATTTCGTTCTGAATTGCAATCTGGGGATCCGGTCAGATGACGTCATGTGATGATGATGGTATTCTTGTCGCACGTGGTGAGGAACTCTGTGTGTCATACTATGTGCTTACTAGTGCTTGGATGTGTTTATGTCCTCCTTACATTTTCTGAGCCCTGGTTGGTGATGATGTGTAGATCGTCCGGCCGCGTACCGATCAAGTATCACGTCACTGTTTATCGGGAAGTACAGGGTCAATGTAGCATTTGGTACATACTTCAACATGTGCAAATCTATCTTAGCACACTAGTAGAGTCAGACGGGAGTATGAGCTTCCTCTCGGAGTGACGTTGCAAGGATTATGTCAACAATGTTATTGTTGATTTCGAACATGTACTTACGATACCAGTATGTGGCGATGCTCGAAGAAAAGAACCCGGGGAAAAAGATAAATAAAAAAATAAATCAATGAACATGAGTTCCAGTCTATATCAATAATAAAAGGTGCGAAGCAAGTATATCCAAGAAGCAGACGACCGAGAAACGAACAACCGAACCATATCAACTCCGACTTGAGTCCATGGATGGATCAACCATCTTGTCCCTAACTAATCAAACAGTCGCAACGATGTCTTGAGAGTATCCCGAATTTCACTAACTAGATGACAACCACCGTCAGCTTCAAAGGCTTGTTTGTCTACATTTTCGAGCACGGGAGCTCTATGATTGGTATTGTACTTACTGGAGGTAATATCCACCGTTACTGGGTTGGTAAGTTCTCGCAACCATTTGGCTACTAGGGCCTCTGGCATCCTCTCTGAGCCCTTCATTGCGGCCACTCGAGGGCTACAACATTGCAGGTCAGTTTCATTCTTCATGGCAACGTGGAAAGACTGTGAGATCTATGAAGGTTGACACATACCGGATTGTAGGTTTCCTCGCAAGGGACATAGACGGTTTCGCGAACATTGACGTATTGGTCGTTCATGGGTGCCTTGGTTTTGGCATCACGTCGGACAATGCGGACCATGGAACTGTTAAATTCAGAAGGCTGGATGGCGATGATCTCGCAATTGCGGCCTTGGAGGAAGACACGTCCACCAGCTCTCAGGTCAGACCATTGTGCGGGGATGGCTATTTCCTCCCGGCCGCCGATTGCGAAGGACGTGCCGGCTTGGCTGCTGCCTCCCCGATGAGAATCGAAATGATAAGACATGGTGAGATAGAGTGAGAAAGAGGCACAGAATGGAGAGGAACTTTGTGAGAAAGGAAGTCTAGATGATCGTGTTGTTTGAGTGAATGAATGATGGGATACCGAGAAAAGTGCGAAAGGCACCTCTTCTTATACTGCTCAAGCTAAGGCAGAAATAGTGTATAAGGCCAGTCAAGCAGGGGGATAGTGGGTTTTTGCAATGCAATGCTAGAAGAATTCTTCATTCGTTGCATAATCATCCTAGGGCTATGGTGAGCAACTGGGCAGAATTCATTGGACATCGAATGGGCGAGCCGCCCCGTCAAACCACTACTGATTCGCGGTTCGACTAACCACGCCCATAACCCCAGACTCTAATGCGCTGTGCTCAGGCTGTGCCTGTTACACGTTTACTTTCAAACGTGCCAGCGACGGATGCATTGTCTGATCGACTGTCAATCATGGCTGAGAACACACCAGGTGGACCCCCATCTCGTGGGTGGGTAACACGTGGGCCACAGGCCCTCGCCTTCTGTCGTTATTTTGTATTGCTCTATCCGTGATGTTCAGCATCACCAGTCAGTCTAGAACGAAAGCAAGTAGTGGCCTAAATTCCTAGTGTAGATGGGCGCCAAGACCGCGGAAACAGTCGTAACGATTGGCAGCCCTATCCAGCGCATCGTTGCCATCATTGGCTAGCGCATGACACTTCACCGTAATTTCAGGACACTTCATAAAAAGTCTGCGACTGTTGCCACAATGCTGCGCCTCTACCGCGAATTAATACCCAATATGATCGTTTTCGCTTGTGCGAAGGAGGGACTAGGGGACTTTTGCAATCTCTACAGTGTTCCTCATAATATCCACCCTGACCACGTGGACGAATGTGGACGACGGAGGAAAAGGAACCAAACGGAAAAGGGCGAGGAGCCACCAAGCTGAACGCCTTAGAAAGCGAAAGGGGATAAGAACAGCAGTTCGTCTATCGTGTCAAAGATCCACTCTTCCAAACCATTGCCCAATGCAGTATGCCTTCGCTACCTTGTTCTTCCGCAATGGCAAAATTACTCCTATCCACCCACGTTCGCACTGTTGGATGTAAGCGAGCCCTACCCTGAACCAAGCTTATGAGTCATCGCTCCTTTTCCGCCCGACATTTACGCCGCAACAAGGCGAATTGGAGTGATTGGGCGTAGTGTAAGAAGTCTGGCATGGCGACTGAGAAATATCGGCAAGAGTGGTTTCAACAGAGATACGATTTTGCGGCCTAAAACTGTCTTAGCATGCAAGCTGTCGGCGGCCTCTTCAGGCCATGTTTCTCACCTTCCCTCTCCTGCAGATCGCAAAGTTGCGGAGAAGGGAAGGGAAAGGGGAGACACCAAATTCGCTGCCGCCCCAGTCATGAAGATGCTTCTAGCGCAGGGTGTCTATAAGGAATGGAGGGCAAAAATAGCACTCTGAATGAGATTCAACGAGGAAGAGCGTCAGTATCAACAGTCTGTCAGTAACTGAATAGACCGGTAGTGTATCTCTCAGCTCATCTTATTCTGGCTACAGCAGCTAAGACAATTGCCAACACCTGGAAGACATGCAGTTATGGATGGGTATAATAGGTTGACTACCCTTCGCAAACTCACATTGTACACTGAGGCGCCTGGCCATTGGGCATGCCATTGATTTACTAGCGGTCACTAGTATCAATCCCTTCTGGCATTACCATTTCCACACCCGGGTTATGCTCATTCTCTTCTCCATATCCACCAGGTTTCTTGCCTTCCGCAAAAGCTTCTAGATAAGCCTTATGCTCAGGAAAGCGTAGCAGTAATTCTGGACGCCCCATAATTCGTAAATAGCCCAACCGTGGCAGCTCCTCAAGGCCAAGTAATAGGAGTGGTTCACCCGGTTTCCGGAGTGCACCATGCCTCAGCGCCATATGATCGATTATTTTTGTTATGCATAATAGAGCAACATTAAGTAACGTGTCCGCTATGAGCAGCTCTAGGACATCGACACGGTCTGCATCCATCAAGATCTCAGACATTACCTCCATACTGCCTTGTACACTGCTCTTGTTTATTCTGGGTCGAAGTGTCGGTCAACTATCGAAATGAAGACTTCACCTCCGGATATACTGTCTTCGTTGTGGGCAGATCCCAGCCAGCCAACTGGCAGCTGCTTCGATGTTTCCATATATCGTGGAGAATGTGTCAGGATATAATAGCGGCATTGCTTCCTCGTGGACCACTTTGTAAGTTGCTAAGATGGCGAGAAATAGACTCTAGCTGTATATCTGGTATCGGCCTCGCTCCACTCCGTAATGCCTCTTACGGGTTTGGTAGTCTGTTATGTGTAGGGTCGACAGAGGAAAATAGCAGAGCACAAAGTCATAGGACTACGAGAGGGGCCGGCAAGGATGAGTCGTGCAGTTGGGGAGATGCCAAAGATGACGATAGATTTCAAGCCGTAGTTCGGTAGGTCACTGAAGGAATGGAAATAACATTGTGAGTGAGAGAGTTGACTATTCGTAAGCATGAGAGTGATCCAAATGTTGAGGGTATTTGTGAAGTTGTAAGCGCACATTCAGCTTGCAGGGTCTTTCCACTCCCGGCTTTGTAGCTGCATTTGCTGTGTTGGTTCCATATGTCAATTCACTGAGCAAACCTTAACGACTAAAAGTAGCCGTGTTACAAGAGCAAGGGCAATCAGCTATTGAGGATTAGTTATGACCAGCAGTGAATTTTGTAGACACCAATCTGCTTTACCAAGTTGGGGTATCAAGAGATCGTAAGTAGCCCCAAGTAGGAAGGATCTACGAGCGACAGTACAGAGACAAGCAGAGAAAAGTCAAATGGATATCAATAACAGCATAGATCAACAATTATCGCTGAGAAAAACGCGGCAAGAATCCTCCCACAGGTGGCCGTAACCACTATAAATCCGCATCAAGCATTATATCATCAAGACACACGTATATTCGGATCAACCGTTGACCTCACACCTTTATGGCATCAACCGATCCTATTTGGCCCTAAAGCCCTCCGTTAATCCTCCATTGTCGTTACTCTCAACCGGGTACACAGACGTACATCATCACATCGCATTACATCACCGTGCAAATGCAGCAATCACACTCTTCATCGCCACAGTCACAGCCGAAGCACGGTTTTTGGACGGATTTGATCGGTTTCTTGATGGAGGATCCGGAGCTGGAAGACGGAAGGATGAAGTTCACCGGAGATGAGATAGAAGAGGCGCCCATTTTGACTGATGACTTTTACGGTCGATGCGATGCGGTTTTGTATTAAGAAACAGAGAAGGCTTGAGATTTTTCAAGAATTAGTAAAGAATGCGACAATGAGCAATTCAGGGCAACCATAATAGCGGACAACTCACCTTTTTATATGTGCACTGCGAAACTTGACAAAATGCAAGAGTCGGTCTGAAACCAAGCGACGTCACCGTCAGGCAGCCGAGTTTAAGCCACGCGCTAAAATTCGAACTAAGAGACGAAGAGGTAAGCCAAGACTTCAGGATCCACTTGGAAGACTTCCCCAGAGTGACTTCGTTCTGCCGAGGCGGAAAGTAGCAGGTGCTGTAGCTTTTGATTATGTACAGAATTTGAGCTTGACTTCTCATGTGCTGTGCTCGCAGTTACTACTTAGCAATACGTAAGGCCAAAACAAAGGTGGTCATTGAACTACTGATAAGCCTGGAGTCAGCCCTACGTAAAAGCTTGAATTAATTCGAAGGCTTATCTTTGCTGCCTAGAGCCTAAATAAAACCATTTATTGGACCTACAGTTGCGCTATTTGGACCCTAGCAGCGCTAGCAAAATACTACTCGAGTAATAGTCCCAGCTTTGTGGCACATGCTCTTTGAGCCGGTCGGATGTATGCTACGTGCTTAAGCGTACGCTACAAAGTACGTGTTTCCAGAATATCTCCACGTGATGAGCTTTCATGGATCCGCAGTGGTTTGAATATGGCAAAGACGTGGCGGTGCAAGAGATACCAAATTTGATTCCCGGGCGGTGCAGCGTGTCCTAACGTCCTTCGATCGACAATGGTTTGCAGAATAGACGCATAACTTCTCACGGAGCTCTGCCCTGACTATTGTGCCAGTTGGGCAGCTATGGAACGCTCGACCAGCTTCTTGCCATAGAACATCTACTTTTAAATAGCACGCAGTGTCATTCATTGTGTATAGTAGACATAAACACTGGGCCCAAGTAGATAAGCTTTTGACGCAGCTCAATTGAGTTTCGCTTCACAGGCAATAAGAAGTGTAGCCATAACTCCATTGCCTCTCCGACCAATCGATAGCCTTATACTCTCTAATCAAAGCAGGTGTATTCTGATCCTCTTTCTTCTATGAATGCTGGTCTCCAAAAGGTATGTGCCAAGAAATGGTGTGGGAATGGCAATTTTACACGGAATCCTCGGCCACGGTTCTGGAGTCTTAACCACACCCACGCAACCTGCGTCAGCCCAGCAAACAAGTACGCAAGCCGATGCCTTCACTGTTCACCTGAGGCCAACCACGGCTACCTCAGGCATATAAATCAAGGTCTATTTGGCTAAACATCGACAATAGTCTCTCGCCACAGCGAACCCGATGGCCGACTGGGCATAGGGACTCCAGCTGACCTTTGAAACGCTCAGTGTGGCTCTCTACATGGGACCACCCGTTCGAGTCTCGCCGTCCACACGGGATATCGAGGCCTTTTCAAGAAGTCTTCAATTGAGTGCAATCCTGAAAAAGGAGAGGGGACCTGGTTACCCTCGCGAAGCACGAAGATGACGTTGGCAGTACTGGAGCGAGAGTAGCTGTGGTAGAGCACCCAGGTCACGCTATCGCATCTTCGTTTTGCTATTCTAAAATCCTTCTCGCAGAGAAAGTGAAGCTATACAAGCGTTACGACTCTTACCTGGATTTACTCCGTTCATCAAGGTTGAAGTCAGAGTTTACCCCCAACAGAATCTCCCGTGAATCCCTCCATCGTTCATCACCTTCCTAAAGTAGACGTCCCTCATCTACACTTGGGCAGCTGCATGCTCCCCAGGAAAAAGTGAAGCCATCCACAGCCACACTAAAGGCAATGTTCCCGTTGCCTCCTGCAGTCCAATGCCGCCCCATCACATTCCACTCCCCCTGCCATTCAGGGTCACCTCCTACATCCGACACTCTTGAAGCTATACAGGCATCCCATCTTTCCCATCCATGCCTTGTATTCCTAGGACTTGACAGAGTAATCTATTCTTGTTATACTACACATGTAATTTTGTGATAAGTCCACCACTTCTACTTCACACATAGGCTATGTCAATCACTGGAAGAAAATAATTCTCGACATCAGAACCCTCTTCAATGCAACCAGTGTCAATTATTTTTAGCTTATGTCTAGACTTGAATCAGTAATCCTACTTGCGGATTTACTCACATTGTGCAATATGGTGACCCTGGTGTTCGACACACTCGTGCTGTGACTGTCATCCTGTTGGTCAAGTGAGTTTGGATATTCTCACCCTTGTATCTTACATTCGCACTATCCTCGATGACGAGAGGCTCACCCTGCTATTTGTATCGGAGACAGCCATTGATTCATACCTCATTATATAGTCCCATTCCTATATATCTTGTCCACATAAAGTTGCACTGCAGGTTCTGTGTTGGGTTTTCACGATCCATGCCGTGAGTTTGTGTTACCCTGGGAACGCTGCAAATCATTCGTCGGAAATATTCTACGACACGATTTTTGATTCGTCCTGAGAGGAAGACTGCGCACTATAAATACTCCAACGTCTGAATTTGATTTACGGTGATCAAGGTATGAACGGTGCCAAGCTCTACTGCGCTCCACCTGGATCCACCAGAAAGTCATCTTTCAAGAACCATGGGCCCACCACGACACAAGCAGCGCTCTCGACTATGGGCGCTTCGATCTATAGCGGCTGGGTTAAATATCTGAATCTATTTGTAAGGCATTCTTTAACATAAGCGGTGGAGCCCCATCCCCTCGAAAACAGGAGCTCGGTGAGAGAGCTGGTCGTACATTTCGCATGCCAAATACTCTTAAACCAGAAGTCGGATGATCTAGCTGCTACTTTCGACCTTTTCAAGCCATACTCCTACGTCAATATTGCGACTATCATTGGCCTGGTCCCCTCCGCAAAGAATGGTTGGGTCGCGAATCTATATAGACCGACCAGAACGGACGCATGATCATGGGTTTTGGGCATCTTCAAAATGGCATTGCATATTTAAGTACTTATATTCAGTAGGGGCCTCGGGTTATGAACGAGCGCTTTGAGAAGAGCAACTAAGGAGATACCGATTGTAGTTCTGCCAGTTATAGCCTTCCACTCTAGTAACCATCATTTGACAAATCGCACACAAACATGATAACCTAATTCCTCCCTCCATCCAATTGATCTTGTCAGAATATAAAATACAACGATGTAAACTGATATTGGCGGCAACTAGGGTCCAATTACTACCTAAGCCCGGGAGTTGGATGTCCACACGTCTAATTAGATTTCTACATTTCAGACGTCAGTCCAGTAGAGTAGGATCTTTCATATGGACATGATAGTGCGTTAGAATAGGAGGTCCAGCGTTGATGCAAAATGGTTCTATCGCATGAGCATATGTTATTAAAAGTCTAGTAGGGCTCGGACCTTCCTTTTCGCAAGTGAGAGCAAACCTACATAGCAGGCAAGATTCTTTTCTTCTCCCGTTTTCTAGGCTGAAAATAAGTGGGGACGATGTGGAGACTGTCGGATGTATAGCCGATTAAAAAAAAAAAAATTACCGTCTTGTAGATTTAGGCTCCCGTGACCTGCACCTTGAATGGCCGCTTTCTTAGTACGTAACTCCTTTTCTTGTAAAAAGTCTGAAATTGAAGAATCACTTGCCTGCACTGTGGTCGCATTAGCGCTACATATGCCAATGATCCTCTGGTCCAACTTGATGAGTTCTATAGTACGCTAAGGGGTAGGTATTGAGCGCGTGCCATGCAGCCTCGGGGGATCGCCTGGACCCATCTTCTGCTCAACCTTGCCGTCTATGTCCTAGGCTGTCAAGCCGCATGGGTGCGGAAGTACCACTGTGATTCCTCGCGATCCAGTGTCCCAGGAGAGTCCCCATTCTGGATTGACAGCTTCCGCGGCTCATTGGACACGTTCGATGGCTCGACTTCACTGTCGTTGTCAATCCTCGGTGTCCACAATGAGTCCCAGTTTGCGTGCGATGACCTCAACCTGACCGGGCTTGACACGGAATTGCGCTTTCATGTGCTTGGCTTCCCCGTTGGCAAGGTGGGGCATTATGAGAGCCAATGTCCTCTGCCACCTACTGACCCGTTGATACCGTAAGGACCCTCTATTCTTGTACCTTTTTGTCGCGTCGCTTATACCATTCTTCAGTCCGGAGGGGTTGCTTTTCTCAAAGTATCTATTTACGTACTCCTTCGGTAGTACACACCGGCTGCACACTCTCGCCGCTGAGATTGGTTTTCAAACCACTGACGGGCTCGAAATCGACTGCGCGGCGGTGAAGATCACCCCAGATGTTGGGAAAGCCGCCGCTATAGCCTTTACCTATATACCCGCCGCTGTGGTGGTCCTTGTCGCGATCACTTCGTGGCTCAAGCACCAGAATAAGGCGGGGGTGAAATCGGTGGTAGAATCCAGAGCCGCGTGGGCTAACCAGGGCCCTATATGGGAGATCATCCTCGATATCACCGACTATATACGATACCTTCAGTTCATCTTTCTGGCTGGCTCACTTACTATAGAATATCCGGGCTTCTACCAGCCAATAGTAAGTCAGGTGGCCTGGTCCTCACTGTTATATTGGACAGGCCCTATTGATCATGGTTTTACGTACACAGGAGTAGAGGATGGTATGTATGTGAGCAATGCATCGTATGGGCTCGAGTATATGGTGCAGATGCTCGGCTTTCCTCAGATGCCTGATGTCATGCTCGATGCGTTTATCAATCTTTTCATTCTGGTTTCTGGTCTTATTGTGGTTCTTCTGGTTATTTGCCTGATAACGTCAGGTTCGGGCTACTTGCCTTCGTTGACCGCAATTCTTTGGCAGGGAGGTTATATCGTCCTAGGGGTGACTCTCTCATTCTTCAGTCTCCCTCTTCTGTCCTACATGTCATACGAATTGATCCTGATTGGATACCTTCCCAACTACCGCGTCACTCTAGTCAGTTTGACAATGGCTGCCATAGTTTGCGCAAACTATCTGATCTTCCGTCATTTTGAGCAAAAGGATCTGAGCGATACATCGTCTGCGGAAGGTTCTGACCAAGACAATTCGCTGACCGGTCCAAGGAGGCTGCTGCAATACTTGGATTATCTACCGCATGCTATTCCACTAGCACAAGGTATTATAATCGGTGGGCTACAGGACTGGGGCCTGGCACAGCTACTTGTGCTTGTTGGGTTTGAAGTCGTTGTCCTGATCCATACGGCCACACAGCGGCACGCCGGCTTTTTTATATCCAAGACCGCCTGGTGCGCTGCTGTTCGCTTGCTATCTCTCATGCTGAGCCTTGCATTCGTGTGCACTTCGAGCGAGGTGACGAATCAATGGGTCGGCTATGTGATCTTGTGCCTTCATGGCGCGGTAATAATCTTCGGGTTTCTTCTTATCTCGCTCTGGGAGCTATCCCGAGCTACCTCGAAAAGAAATGGTAGAAATAATGATACATTGTCGGAGGACATGATTGTGATGCCGGTAGGTTAGCCAAGATTTTCTCACCTATCATACCTACTTGCAGGAACTCACCAGTTATCAGCCTCTGAATCATGACGACCGTTCCTTTAATCCTCAAGACGCCGATGCCATGCACCGAGCGAAAAGCCCGAACTACAGTCTTAATAAGCCTAGTTTCGACAGCCTGGCCAGCTCCTACCGCTTGGGGTCAGCTGGGACATCCCTTGAACGCCCTAAGGAGAGTCGCAACTCGGCCACACCCTTCTACTCAACACCTCCCGGTGGGAGGCATTATGTCACGGACTTTTCCAGTTTCTATAGATCCCCGCGCCGCCGAAATGAACCCCCGACAACCAGAATCTTGCACGCTCGCCCAGCATCACGTTCTGTTAGTCCGCCTGTAGGGCCAATACCGAACGAGGACTCATCGCATGACTCTTCGCCAACTCGAGGCTCCCTGGATATACTTGATGAGCTGTTAGAAGTACCCAGCAGACCTGACGTAGATTACTCTGTGAGAGAATCGGACTTCTACTACGGTAGACCGACTAGCGACTCTACACCACCGTCGACGCAATTTTCGTCGGGGAATATGGACGAAGACCAACCCAGCCGACAGGCGTTGCGCCACTGGATGCGCAAAACGGCAGCGCGAGTAAAACACCCCAAGCAGAAGGAGAAAGGCTTCCAGGTAATGCGGCCGCCACGGCCTACATAGGGCGTGATGAATTTTCTCAAAAACAATATACATGTTGCACCAGAATTCTATGAATCTCATGGGTTGTAATTCTTACGGCTAGTTTTGTAGGCGACTGGTAGATGGCTCTACAGATCTTAGATCCAAGTAGTACCGAGTACCGAGTAGTAATTACGGTGGCTTGAGATTTTAATTCCTAGCAAACTGGCAATCAAGGATGCGTCTCACTGTTTCCTTACTCAGTCGTGGACTGATTACATGTTCTGCCTATTCTTTGTCTCTACAGAATTAATTTCAACTGAACCCTAACTCTGCTGATAATTGTTTCCCTCGCCACGTCATCTCAAGCGAAGTTCTGACACAAAAGCACTCTCTCCACCTACCGATTATAGTTCTTCATATAGAGCATTATATTACTATAAAGTTTCAACTTATGATCCTTGAAATGTTTCAGAGCAGTCAATGAGTATTTTAGCAAATACCACTCATATCCAATATTGGTTGATCAATCTGAGTTCAGTGTGTATGGTTGGGGCGTCAATTGCGGAACCCCAACAACTCAAGATTTAATGATTAGTTATCATGCCAGACGGGGGAATACGAAGTCTCAAGCCACCACCATTCTTCTACATATTATCTACACGTTGAAATGTTGAGGAATCCGTACGAAAATCAAGGAAATATTCCTGCACATCCCACTCATGAATCCAAACTACTCTCTGTAGATCATCAGTAGAGTCGTAGAATATAAACCCATTCCCTCCCACTGAATCATTACCCTAACCAACCCTACCTACCATTGCAAGCAAGAAACCACAACTCTTCAATCTATAACATTACAACCTTCATTATATCTATAATTCTATACTCACAATGTCCACCCCAAGACTCACCCTCTACTTCGACCTCCTAAGTCCATTCAGTTACGTCGCCTTCCACATTCTCAAAGTCCGTCCCTTACCTACAGTCTACACCCTCAAAGATATGCCAACAACCACACTAACCATAATATAGAACTCTCCTACGTTCACAAAATGCGACATAACCTACACCCCAGTCCTCCTCCGTGAGCTTTTCACTATCTGTCAAAATCCACCCCCAATTGCTGTTAAAAGTATACATTCCCCCTTTATAAATTCTCTCGTTTCCTTCCTTTCTGCATCCCCAAATCCACTCTCGCTACCCAACTCCAAAACCCAAAACCCGAAGATCCATGATCTATAAAGAATGACCCAAAACACAACAAAGCTAACAGAAACAAAAAAAAAAGACAAATCAACCTGGCTAAACAAAGAACGTCTCTACTGGTCCCGTCGACTAAATCTCCCCATGTGTGAAACTCCACCGGCCGGGTTTCCTTTCCCGACTGTTGATGTCCAGAGTATATTACTTACACTCAGTGAGCGGGACCCCGAGAAGGTAGCTATGGTTGTGGAGAGATTGTATCGGGGGCTTTGGGGAGATGGGAACTCACAGATTGTCACTCCTGATGGGTTTATGGGGGTTTTGGAAGATGTGTTTGGGGTGGGGATTGCTGGGGAGATACTCGAGGCTGTGAGTTTTGTTCTTTTCTTTTTCATTTCCTTTCTGTCTCTTTTATCCATTTTGCGTATTTCTATGTGGCTGTTGGTGATGATGGTTATGGTGACGATATTGTGATTGATATCAATCCTGACACTAATGCTAACTGATATATAGTCAAAAGAACCAGAAACCCAACTCCGTCTAACGGAGAACACCCAGAAAGCGTTCGGCACCGGAGCATTCGGACTACCGTGGGTCGAGTGTGTGAATGCTCAGAACGAAACAGAGTGTTTCTGGGGGGTGGATCACTTGGAGAGAGTGGTTGAGTTCCTGGGCTTGGAGAAGGGGGATTCACGTTGGGGGTTGGGTGTGTCAACTAAGTAGTAGCTACTATTTCTCCCTTCTTTCCTTCCTTTTACTGTTCGAGGTTGGGACTCTTCTTGTCTTCGTATGATATAAGTACACCCGAATGTATTCAATTTAATTGAGAAACTAGAGCATCACTGCTCCCTCCTAAAGGAACAGCAGTACAGCTGAGTCCCACGTTCAACGTCAACGAACACTAACTCAATAAAGGGGAAGAAAGAGAAAGATAGGTTGGGTTTTGTTACTATACTATTGGTAATATAAGTATCCTCAACCATTCCATATTCTCCCACACAAACCAGACCCTATATGTAATTCTACGGAACAGAGCAGAAGATACGAGTCGTGGTACCAGCCGGTAGCTTCGGGTGTGGTGACATACGATTATAAGAATGAAAATCACTGATTCTAATTATTAGTCAATTTGTAGTGGTATTTTAGATACAACACGACTTCTCCGCCTTGAAATATATATATATTCGTATGCAGTATGTAGTTAATCAGCTCTTCATTAGGACTGATGCAGCGGGATAGTATGAGTCTGTTAAGATAAACCGCTACTACACGTCGAGTAGCCCAGTTATTTGGGGAGGGTCATGGAAAGAGATTAGATTGTACGGCATAGATAGCAGAAGTGTAAAATGTCTTTTATGTGACGTATACGTACTATCATATTGTAACTTTCACTTAATTTCCGAGTGTCTATAGATAGTATTGCAGTGTGTATCAGAAGTTGGCTTTGGGCTATATTTTGAGCAGATTGGTATATTTCCCAGAGGATTAACGAATTAATTAATGGTTGGTGGGAACTTTCAAGGGCTCAGGTGAGTTTGTACAAATGCGTACATTGATGAATCTGGGGGTGACAGGAAATTCATGCTGTGAGTGGAGAGCACCATAATGGCCATTCAGGGAATCATGGCCACAGGTTGCTTCAAGACTCAAGGAGACTGATGGTAGACTACGAGGTTCAACGTTGGCTCATGACCACACAGCTTAAGGCTCAAAGCGAGGCCATCATGTACATGCTACGATGTAAAAGAAACACATAAGACAAGGCAGGTTATAAACATTGAGAAATATTTACAACATTTTGTTCATAAATCATTGCGAAACGAATACATGACTTTTCTATCCGTCTTCGTCACATCATCACGCATAAGCAGGGCCGACCCTGATGCGCTCCGGAGGGGTATCTTCTATCAGTCAACCATAAAACCATTTTGTTAACCAGTCTATCCATTAAATATTTGTTGAGTCGTCAAGCCATCAAGTCGGTTGAGCATTTACAGCTGCTCAGCCCAAGGAGCAGCACCGGGCTGCATCTGGTTCAGCCACTTGACAAGCTCGATGAGCTCGGCGCGGCGCTCGTCCTCGAGCTGATCCTCATCACCGCAGAGGACAGACTGGAAGATGGGCAGGAACTGAGGGGTAAGCTCGCGGATGGTGGGGTCTTCCCACTTGTCTGCAGGATAGTTAGCAAAGGGCTCACCATAATCAAGGCTTGGAATACATACACAGCTGGCAGATCATGCGGTACAGAGGGTCGTTCTCCTCGAAGTCGTTCTTCAACGGAAGGAGTTTGACCAAAGCAGGCAGCACATCCTTGAGGGGAACGCTGTCACGGTGCTTGAGGATCATGCGGCTGAGACAGCCAGTGGCGTTGTCCTGAAGGCGGGAGACGTCCATGTGCAAACAGGCCTCGAGACGGCTGAGGATGGTGGGGAACTCCTTCACAATTTCGGGAGCGGTGGAGTGCTCAACGAGACGGCCAACAGCATAAGCAGCGTTGGAGCGAGTCTGGGGATCCTCATCACCAAGGCGGTGAATCAGCAGCTTCATGAAAGCAGAAGTGTACGGGGTCACAGCGGCACCCATGCCGTTGATGCACTCGGCGAGAACACCGACAGCGGTGGCACGCTCGAGAGACTCGGTGCTGCCGGCGTAACGGATGATGGTCTTCTCGAAGACCTTCCAGAGCTCGGCAAAGCTCTCACCCAGAGCAGCAGCCATACCAGAGACGACGTCGAGACCAGTGTCAACAACGACCCAGTCAAACTCAGAAGTCTCTTCACCGGCATCGATAGAATCGTCGTCGGGGCTGAACTCAAGTTGGCAAGGGTGCTTCTTAGTGATGATATCGGTGACCATCGTGATGACATTGTGGAGGGTAGTCTCATTGGAAATGAGAGAAGGACCGCAGTAGCGGAGGTTCTCAGCCATGTTGCGGTTGATGTCGGCGACGGTAGCCCTAGGTGATGGTAGGTTAGAATCGAAGCCACCACGTAAATATTCATGCAAAGCAACACATAGAAGGATCAAAAGTTCAGATGTGAGATAAATCGTCGTTAACATCAATCACGCTTTTTTGCGTGTCAAAGTGAGCTGGGTAAACGAGGGTGATCATCATTGTAGGTGGCAGGAAGGAAAAGATTCCAAAGCCTGAAAAGAAAAGCGAAAAACAAGCAAAAAGACAGTATACGTACCGATCATCTTCCTCGGTCCACATGCGGATGGTGCAGGTCATCAGGATTTCACCGAACTTCTTCACCTCCTTGGCAGGCTCGACCTGGAGAGGCAGGCCAGGCTTCCACTTGGCCATCTGGCCGTTCTCCTCGGCAATGGCGAACAGCATGGCGTAGGAACGGTGGAGAGTGCTGATAGTGCTCTTGCGAACACCTTCGTAAGGGTGCTCAGCAAGGGGCAGGACCATCTCAATGGTCTTCTCGAAGTAAGGCAAGTAGGAGGACTTGGTGTGGGTAACAAGGTCACCAATAACCTCAACAGCGATTTCCTTCTCAAGGGACAAAGGAGTGGTGGCAGTGATGTCATCCCAGCCATCCTCATCTTCAAGGTCGACATCTTCAATCTCACCATCCTCGCCAACGGGCTCATCGTCATCATCAGCACTGGCAACCTTGACCTTGCGGCCACCGACAGTCACCTCCTGACCAACCAAGTCCTTGGCCGCCTCGCCGAATGAAACTTCAAGATCTGTCTCATCCTGCTCGATACAAGCAAAGAGACCCTTGACAACGCCGTCGAGGAAGGCAGAGAAGTGCTCACCGTAGACCTTGGACATAGCGCCCCAGAAGATGTAAGTGCTCTCCTTCAGGCGGGAGTGGCCAAGGTGCAGGGCCTCTTCGGTTGCGCGCATGAGGGGCTCAACGTAGGGCTGATAACGCTCAGGACCGGCGGCGGCGGCCATCTCGCCCATGGCGTCAGTCACGCTCGCACGCAGGTCGAGCTCCTCCTCACTGTCCTTGACAGTTGCAAACTCCTGCAGCAAGTGCATAGACTCATCAAAGAATGGCAGGAAGGAATCACCGGCGGAGGAGGCCAGAGAGCCAAGGGCGCCAGCAGCCAAGCCCTTGATTCTGAAGTCAGGGTGCTTGAAGAGCTTGTGCAAGATAGGAACCAATTCACCCTGGTAAGGGGCAACATCCTTCTCATCAAGGCCGTCGACGACGGCGTCGATAGCACTGATGCCAGCCTTCATGATATCAATGGTGGGGCCATCCTCTTCACCCTTGTACTCTTGCATAGCACTGGCAAGGTTCTGGAAGAGCAAGGGCATGAGCCTCTCATGCTCCTGGCTCAGATCCTCAGCCAGGTCGTCGGCAAGACGGGCCACAGCGTGCAACGAGGCCTGACGAACCTTGGGCTCGGGGTCACCCAAGAGCTGGAGAACCATGGGGAAGATCTCCTTCATCTGGGTGCTGATGAAGTCGGGGGCACCCTCAACACACATACCGAGAGCCATAATACCGGCACGACGGTAGTCGGGGTTGGTGTTGTTGAAGTACTGACCCAAAGAGTGCAAGAGGGGCACGACGACCTGGCTAGGGGGCAGGCTCTGCGCCAGCATATCGAGCAGTCCCAGGGCAGAGCGCGCCGGAGTAATGTCATCATCGAGGACGGAGGTATCACCGAGCTCAGTGACGATGTGCAAAGCAGTGCGAGTGAGTTGCTCACCGACACGCATAGCCTGCACCTTGAGCTTGCGGTACTGGACACACTGCATCAGGAAGCTGATGGCCTGGGTACGGGTGTCCTCCTCCACCTCAGTGTTGGCGGAGATCTCGTTCATGAAGACAACGAGATCCTTGAGGTGCACCGTCAAGAGGGCCGGATCACAGCCCAGGATAGTCTGGAAGACTTCAAAAGCCTGCATCACACGGTCCTCCTGGGTCTGATCGATCGACTCCTTGAGTACAGCGACCATGGAGGGGATCAGCTGCTGGAAAGCTTTGACGGGGCCAACATCCTCCTCCGAGTCAAGGTGCATGGCAAGTCGGCCAAGAGCCAGAAGGGTGTTGGTACGAACTTCCTCACTCTCTGGGTCGGCAATAGTCTTGCCGAACAGGTTGAAAAGATCCTGGAATTTCTCCTCGAATCCTTCACCCAGAGTCTCCAGAATGGTGAACAGGATGTAGATAGCCACGGCACGCTCGTCCTTGTTGCCGGTGCTGCCGGCCTGGATCAAGAAGTTGGGGAGCTCGGCCCATTCGCCATCGTTCAGGTCAACCTTGGCAACAGCCGAGATAACACGGGCGATCGAGTGACGAACGAGAGACGAGCTCTCGCCAAGGGTCGAACGGAGCAGTTGCTCGCGGATCTGAGGCTTCTGGCCGGCCTGCACGGAAACCCAGTGCTTGTTCACCAAGGAGCGAGCCTCGACAGCGGCCAGCTGCTTAAGGTTGGTATCCTCATGACCAGTAGCGATCTGGATGAGGAACACCAGGGAATCGGGCTTGTTATAGAATTCGCGCTGGAGGATGCCTGTCGCTTCCTTCACATTTCCCTGGGTGGCTGGAAATTCTCTGGTCAGCATGCCTCGTTGCTTATGCTTTCATGATTGGTCACTTACGGTTCAGGACGATCTGCAGCTGCTGCAGGAATCTTTGTTGATCCATGATGAATCAAAAAGCACACAACTTTTGTTTATGGAAGATAAATAAAAACAATTGCGGGGGATTGTCCCAGACCCTCGACGACAATCGAGGTTCCTTTTCACAGGGACTATATGAGCTGTCTGCGCAAAACAGAAA